ACTTGGTTGGCCGTTGCCTCGATTGATCGTCGAATTTTCCCATTATATAACGGACGCTGCACCTCCTCAGTCACTCACCCCGATTCCTCTCGCACTGGTTCAACACCACTCGCATGGGCACATGAGAAGGCAACGCCATTTTCCAATTCCTTATCCTTCCAGACCAATTCCTCACCATGTGCAACTTTACCAAGAACTATTACATCTATACGTCTTGCACAGATCCCGGTGCCCACTTCTGCAGCACCTCGACTGATGGGAGCAAGGACCGCTCGTGCCCCATGGGGCCTCATGAACGATTCATTGTCATCCCTGAGAGCTGCCCGCTGTGTTGCGGATGAGCAGCATGGATTGCGTCCTGGGGGCCATTATACATGGTGTTCAAACAATCGTCTGACGTGGGCTCAAGATGATCCAACCACGTGTCCTAGAGCCCAAACCCTGAGAGGAACCATACCCAACATTTGCTTCATCATACGACATGTACAACAAAGGACGAAGAAGTGTTGATACCGCATTGGTTTGGGTTGGGACAGCCTTCGGGCAACCACAACTCTTCTTGTCTTTGCTGATGCATCGAGCACACACGGCACCGCGGCGCACGGGTTTGCCCACGAGCTACACTTTGCATCATGATACCACAGCCCGGCAAACGATCTCGACCAAAGCAAGCAAAACACATGACCACAAAAAAAAAGAAAGAAAGAAGAAGACAGCAAAATTTCATGGCAGTATTTGAGAGCGGAAACCAACAGAACACAACAACAGGGCATATTGTAACATCATTTTACATGCGAGCACCAGCATGAGATTCATTTTTATTGGCATTTGAGTTTTTACACTAGCAAGCATATGAAGTTTTGATGGAGTTTGGGAAAGGCAGCCAGGCATTAGGTAGCATACTAGTAATTCTGTGCCGGAAAGCGTGTGTTCTTTTTTACTCCGACGCGCATGACGCAGCCTACTCATTGACCTCGTGCTCTCGGACCAAAGCGCAAGGCCGAAACGTGACAGCTTTGTCTTGACGCGCCAAACGGTTGGCATCATGAAGGTTATTTCTGCGCCGAGTTTTGCACCCGATCCAACGTCCTAGATTGCCCAAATTACGATTTTGATCCCATCTGTACTCTGTGCCGTGGCACAACTACGCCGGACCTGCGGCCATTCAAAAATATCCCCAGGATACACATACTCAAAGCAGTTAACATGGCCGACGGGCGAAGACTAGACGGCAAGAAAAGAGGTGGAGTATGGCGTCCCGTCGGTTTCAACACCGACCAACCGCAAGCGGCGCGAGACCTCAATGTTGCGAGACGGTCCGGGGCACGGTCCCTGGGGCCACGCCAAGTCTCCATGAGCGAGACGCCGGGTTAGGTACCTTGGTACTTGGGTTGCTTTTCTACCCCATATTCACGGGCGCGTGTGGGCCAGCCCAGCATCAGTCATAATTTACGGAGTGCTAAAGAAAGCGCCCTGTAATACTACTGCTACGTACTACTACACATACGTTGAGTTCCATCACGAGCGTTATCATGAAGGGACCAAACGAGTCAGAATTTGGGGCGGGTTGATTTTTGCCGACGAGTCCTGACGAGCCTTAAGCGGCCCCGACGGCCGCCGGAAACGAAGAGGAAGAGGTTGACTTGCACTACCCCATGTGCTCTACCCCGTACGCATTGCCGAATCGTGGTTGCGGTTCTTCAAGACTGCCGGGGTTGAAGACTCGAGTTGCGTGGCTTAGGGAGGCTGCTTCTCTCTTTTTTCGGTTTGCATTTCTTGGCATATGCTGACCGCTTAATCAAGCATGCGACATGGCAACTGGGAAACCCTTGTTCTCCACGTGAGGGCAGGGGGATGGATACATGTAGTCTTGGCCCACGCGAGACACTGCCGAAAACATGCGTCGTCATACCATCATTTTGCGTCAGTCTAGTAGGAAGCAAACTAGGCGACGCAAGTTATACGCATGTACGTCGCCCAAGGGTTGCGTGTTGGTGGTGGTACATGTAACCGGGAAATTTTGCCAAGGTGAGGTGGAATGTCGCGCCGTTACGGGAATTTCACGCACACCTGACCAGACGACGCATCTTTAAACTTTGGCGGAGACGCATGGCCAATCCCATCATGTCGAATGTTAGTAGCCGTACCAGGGAGGGCTTGTCTCGTCTGTAACCGTGCGGATCTCGAGTATCACCTATATATTGCCGAGCGTCTTTTGGAGCACTACTGCCACTGTATTATTAGTGGTGGCTGGCACGAATGTTGTTGAAGGCCGTTGAAGGAGTCGGGAACGAGAAATGAACTGTAATCACTGTTTCATAGCTTGATCGTGCCCTGAACCAGGAGCCTGGTTGACAAAACGGGGATTACCGCAATAGTCATCGTGCGTAATAACTGTAAACAAGTGAAACTTGCGGATCAGCGTGAGATGCGTCTGGAAGAGGTCGCAGTAGGAACTTTAGGCTCACAAACTAACCAGGTATCCAGCTGCTGCATCTGCTCGTGATATGCCGGTGATGGCGGACCCCTACGCTGTGCAGATCTGCTCTCCAGCGGCAAATTACCCTGATAAGCCGTTAATTTGTATCGAATTACTCTGGCCGAAAAACCCGACGTGCCCCAATTTATGCCAGCGCTTGGCACTCCAGACGCAAATACATACCTCACGTGTTTGTCGAAACTAGCTTGAGCTCTTGTGATGTGATAGGTTTGAGGAGGCACGGTTTCCAACACTCTTGCGACGTGCCTTGATCCGAGCGTCAACCAAGCTTGACCAGCAAGCTTTCATCAACCAGTGAATGCAGGTGCCTGTGTGCCAGCAGGGCGGATCATATGATGTCTGGTTGTCTTGCATCCGAAGGTTAATATGCTATTTTGCCTTGGGGATGCCGGCCACAGTGCGTCAGCCTTCAGGGATAGACCAGGTCGTATAACTAAAACACATGGGCCATGCGGATGACGTACATGGAGACTAGACAAATGCCGAAAATCTAAGAAATTGATTGCATCATCCCGCACTGCTCCAACGAGAACGTCGTAAGGGTCTGATGGCCGACATTGCATGGCTGACATGGCCAAGGGCTGTTTCTATTTCTGCTTCTCGGTGGTGCGGACAAATGAACCCTCAGGCAGCCTGAATCGCTACTATTACCCGTACCAAGTACGCTAAGTGGTTGGCCGTTTTGCTGTCCAGGAGTCATGTCGCGACAAAGTCAACCCCGGGGGTGGTTGTTACTTCAATGTTGCCAGTTGTCCAAACCCCGGGTCGAGTTACGGAACTGAGCCTGGAGGAGATGGCTCTGGGACAGACAATGGCCGTGCGCTGTATAATGTTGCAATGGTCCGTGGTTTGAAAGCTTGGCCTTCACAGCCGGGCAATTCCAGGCCACCACTAATAATTGTTGAGCATCATTGATGTGTAATAGGGCGATTGGCTCGTACACTGCTTCTCTCCAGAACTCGGAAGCGATATGGTATCACGCTAGGATGTCTGTGTCCTGAACTTGGACATAGCGTGAGGTCTGTTCCCTCATCAAGTGAAGAGAGGCTCCGAACGCCGACAGCGGAAAGTCCCATTGGGAAATGTAATGCGCAAACGGTACGTCTGCCCAAAACGTTAAAAAGAAGAAAAGGAAACCAAAAGATATGCACGACTCACGATGGCCAATGTCAGCGATGAAAGACATCAATGGCACCTGCCAACTGCACCACCAAAAGTGGGGTACGTTCCTGGTAGTAGTGCATTTCTCTTTATCAAAGCCCGTCCCAGTCTTGGTTTGAGTACATCTGTGGCAGAGTATATTTAGCTGTCCACGATACGAAGAACCACCGCCATACGACAACACTGCATTATCCTATAGTGTAGCGTCGCGATCGCCAGGTATGCGGTCAGGTCCAATACTCTTTGCCTCGCCCCCGACGCATGCGATTATACCCATCTTTGACACGTCCAAGACGATCGTGTCATGCCTGTGGCGGTATGTCGCAGAGCAAACACTCTTCTCGGCCTGGTGTCCTGCTCGTGGCATTCTTGGAAATCATAGATCCCGGTGTATTTGCCTGTGCCTGTGCGGGTGGCTTACGACGACGCTCACGGACCGTTTAAAGGGCGACAACGAAGGACGATCACTGTGGCTCACGACGCAGTCAGTACCGACGGTGGTGACAATTGGGCTGTGCTTAGCTTGAGCTTGCCGTTACTCGGTGCTCCGCTCTCTTGGTCAAGCCGTCGGGCCGCGTCCGGCAGTGATTACACGATACCCCCGCCTCTGTCCAACTCGACAGGTGCGCTTGTGGATTACAATTGGAAGAGACGACACGACTCCTGGTGTTCCTTGGGCACTTGGAGGACTCCAGAGAGCATTTGCGGCGCAAAACCACTCAAGTGCTCCTTCCCCGGACCACGGAGCTAGAACAGCGCTTGCTCAATCGCACCTTCCATTTGCAAAGCTCGAATGAATACTGGCTGGCGCACCGAGTACTCCGTACAAACCTTCAAATGTTGGTCCTCCCGCATTTAAACAATCCACAGTGGCAGAATGCAAATGTCTGCCGTTGATATGGCAGAGTGCTCCAATCACTCCGACGTCCATGGCAACCAATAGGAATGGGCTGGCCACAACTCCTCCCCCAGGAAAATTGTCCCCGCACCCTCGCAACGACCGGGCCGAGGCTCATCGCATTCGCATCCAGCGGCCAAACTCCAAATTGCAAATTTCCGTTGCTTGGGTTGGAAACATACGGTACATAAATACGGCGCTCTGCAGAAATTATATTTTCCTGCTTACTGAATCGCAATCGTCACTTGGAAGGCGACAAGAACGTTTCAACAGCTTCAACAGAGCAGCTCGCCGCGGTTTGGAAAGGGGCCATCTGGCGGCAACAAATCATCAGGAAAGACGTTACCTGCCACTGCCACCGTCACCTCATCTACAAATCACAACTCTCGCACTCGTCGCACGAATTGCTGCCGTTTGCATAGCCGTTATTCCGTACATACAATGTCCTACCCCGAGTCGCATTATCTCAGCCCCATCTGGCGAGATGACCTATTCAGTGAGTCCCTCAACCCGTTATTGGCTGCTCTCGACCAATTGAGCTGTCCAAGTCTTCGACTAGAGTTTAAACCTTGAACGACTTGTTCTGGTCCAAGCAAAGAAAAATTCTGCTCATGTTCTTTTGCTAACGGGGAATCTGTGCAACAGAGGGTCGCGTCGCCTTTGTGACGGGTGGTGCTGGCACGATCTGCAGTATGCAGACGAGGGCGCTTGTGCGTTTGGGTGCCGACGCCTGCATTATTGGACGTAACGTGGAGAAGACAGAAAAGGCTGCCAAGGACATCGCAACAGTTCGTCCCGGCGCAAAGGTTATCGGCATCGGAGGATGCGATGTCCGCAAGGTAAGCACGCGTGGGCAACATGTTCCAAGAGGGCCTCTGTTGCGCTGCAGGTGTCATGCCGTCTTGACTCTTGATGTTATTCATGATGGGGATTGCTTTTGCTGCACTGCTCTACTTTGAACTTCTGATGGTTAAACTAGCTTTGTATCTGATGAAGTCCCGTGCTGACCTTCGCCTTTAGGTTGAGAGCCTGAAGGAGGCTGCTGCCCGCTGTGCAAAGGAGCTAGGCGGTATCGACTTTGTCATGTGAGTATATTTACATTTTGACATAAAGGGGCTGGCACAGGAGAGCCCCCACCACAGCCGTTGTGTGCTGTGCTCTTCACCCTAATTTACGTATACAAGCTCATCTAACACATCAATAGTGCCGGAGCAGCAGGCAACTTCCTCGTCTCCATGGAAGCCATGAGCCCCAACGCGTTCAAGGCCGTCATGGACATCGATGTCCTCGGCACCTTCAACACCATCAAGTCCACCATGCCCTACCTCCTCAAAAGCCCCGACGCACGCATCATCTACGTCTCCGCCACCTTCCACTACACCGGCATGCCTATGCAGGGCCACGTCGCAGCTGCCAAGGCGTCTGTTGACTCCCTCATGGCATCTGTAGCTCTGGAATACGGTCCGCGCGGCGTCACGAGCAACGTCATCTCTCCCGGCGCCATTGCCGATACTGAAGGCGCTGCCCGGCTTTTGACAGGTGATGCAGCTGCCCTCAAGCACCGCGCTAGAGCTATCCCCACTGGTCGTCTGGGAACTGTCAAGGATATTGATGATGCTACGGTGTACCTGTTCAGCTCTGCTGGCTCTCACGTTAACGGACACGTGTTGGTCGTTGACGGTGGTTCGTGGAGAAGACAGGGCTCACTTGCCATGGGCGGAGAGGATGTGAAGTACCCTGATTTCTTACTCGCAGACGGTGAGGAGCCCAAGGTGAAGCTGTAAATTAGCCGTGCTATGGGTCCTGTTATAGTCGAAGAAAGGAGCTAGTATTATAATCAAGCTTTCGCCAGCTACGCGATATGTTTCGTTTCAACCCAAATGTGCGAGACGTTGGGAGACGCAAGAACAGTAGTGCATGCTTCACCAATGATTAAAATCCGACAGGAATGTCAACGATGGAGTTTGTGGAGAGCTATGTTTTTTTTTTTTTTGGCCGGATAAAAGGTCAACCTGTTTGTCCGCCGACCAGAGCCCCGATGTCCGCATATGCATGCCGCAATTGGGCCGAGTGACAAGAAGGGGACATGGAGCAACCCAGCCGATGAGCTTGGTGCGTACTACAAAGACATGCAACCTCTACAGTGGACTAACATAAGGCTGCGTTGAGATTGATTGGGTGTAATCATGAGGTGAATAAGGAAGGGGAAAACAGCACGTCTGGTGGAAAGTAACATCGGGACGAGGCAACTCTTCAACTCCAATACATGACAAGCTTTTGCTGGTGAAAATGAATCCGGCGTACTTACCCGAGATATAAAATTTCTCCAGTTTACTACGGATGTGCATGATCCCTTCATGCAGGTCAAAACGGTTATGTGGTCCTTTCTCCACGTGTTGTTCCGTTGCCGCCCTCAAGGATGGCGTGGGAACGAGCATCCATTTGGAACTCGTCTGATTCATGCAAATGATAAAACGATCGTGGCCGTACATGATGAGAGTGATGGCATGGCCCCGGTTTATTGACGGTGCCCTGACCCGTGCAGCCGCCGTTGGGGCCGTGGACGGCTGTCGGCGTTCCCCTGGGACAGGCAAGCCTCTTCCAACGGTAAAAGGCAGGATGGTTCTTTGCTACACATGGGAGAAGTTTCCGCACAATAAGAAGCGCATAGTGACGGCTGGTCTCTCTTTGAAAACTCCTTCGGCGTATCTTGTCAGGTAATTCGGGCCGTTGTGAACTTGTGGGCGGTCATATCGGGGCGTTATCCGCTATCTGAGAATCAGTATTCCGTATCGGCGATAGCTGGGGAATGGCCGGAGATGCACGTTTCGCAAATTATCTGGACTGGCGTGGCGCTTTGATTTGGTTTATTCGCCGCTCTTTGGGATGCAACTAGAATGGCAATGGTAAGAAGCCAATCCCTGATCAGCTCGTATCTCCCATGCTCGCTTTCTGAATCGGTTCAGCCTTGACTTGGGAATATTGTTTTTCGCATCTCCACTGAGACATGCTGTCGAGGTGCGCCCTTTGGCATGGTGGAGACGAGAAACAAGTTCTTTACATGAGCTTGCATTTGCATTAGCTTAGAAAAAATGAGCCAATTTGACTACGGCTGAGCTGTGACCGAATTAGTCCGTAGAATCAAGATCCGAGAGAGAACATAGGAAGCCGTTGAAAGTGGTCAATGTACAGAAGTTCCAAGCTGAAAGGAGACAACAGTACACAATGGATGACAGCTTCGGACCATCGCTCGACAGGGGTGTACGGAGGTGAGGAAAAGCGCTTGAGAAATAACGAATGAACTCTGGTTCTGACGTTTGCACCCATCTGCCCGTTGCCATTTGCTTTTTGACCTCGAATGTTTGCAAACAGGTACGGTTCAAATATTGGCCCGCTTTACGTACTTGGATGGGCCAGGGATTGATTGCAGAAGCTACGGTGGGGAGGGATGTTGACGGTAGTGGGCAGGTGCGACCCTGCCAACCTGTCATGCTCTGTTGCTGGTCGAACTGCTCCATTGAGCCTTCCCTAGCTCGCCCGTCCCGCGGGGCATCTGCTCCCCCTCACCAGATGGCTGCGGGTATCCTCCGATTCACGCATTCAGTCCCCGGGCTATATGAGGAGCTGGTCCCGCCAGGAACTTTTCAAAATTATTTCTTTTTGACTTCCCTTTGGACTTTGCCGAAGCTTCGTGCTCTGCTATCCTCTGTTGTATTCACTAGCTCTTGCAGGGCCCTCAATTGGACCTCTACCGGACCTTGGGATATCACAACACATCTCGACCCCCGCCAAGAAGACAATGCAATCCAAGCTCCTTGTTGCCTTGTCGGCCGCCGCCGCCACCACGCTCGTCTCGGCCGCCGAGGAGCGTGTTCTGGGCGTCTACATCTTTCACCGCCATGGTGACCGCACCGCCAAGGCTTGGGCTCCTGTGAACCTGACTGCTCTCGGAGCCGAAGAGGTTCACTCGTCCGGATCCTTCTATCGCAAGCGCTACGTCCAGACCGACGCCTCGGTCCGCATTGCCGGTGTCAGCAGCAACAACCCCGTCCTGTCTCAGCTCTCCGTTATTGCACCTCAGGATGCCGTTCTGTACAACTCGGCCCTGACGTTCCTCCAGGGACTGTACCCCCCTACTGGTCAGAGCGAGACTCTCGCCAACGGAACCAAGGTTGAGGGTCCTCTCGGCGGATACCAGTATATTCCTATCAACGCCATCAGCAATGCTGCTACGGCAAACAAGGCTGAAAACCAGGGTTGGCTCCAGGGTGCCAGCGGCTGTGACAATGGCGTCAAGAGCTCCAACGCCTACTTCACCTCCGCTGACTACCAGAAGACGTATGATGAGTCTTTGGACTTGTACCAGAGCATTCTGCCAGTTATCAACACCACTTATAACAAGGATGCTGCCAACTTCAAGAACGGCTACACTAGTATGTACCCCCGCCATTTCCTGCGTTTCTGCTTCAGACACCCAAACAGCGCCGAGAAGTGCGATAGATAAAGGATACTAATAGACACAAGTTTGGGATTACATCAACGTCGCCAAGATCCACAACTCCTCTATTCCTTCTGAAAATCTCATCAATAGCCAAACTTTTGACCGTCTCTTCAACCTTGCCTCCGTCCATGAGTGGAACCTTGCCTACAATGCCAGCGAACCCGTGCGTGCGATTGCTGGTTCCGTCCTGGCCGGTCAAATCCTGGATTCTCTACAGGCCATTGTCGACGGCACCAAGGGGGCCGCCAGGTTCAATGCCCAGTTCGGCGCCTACGGCACCTTCATGGCCTTCTTTGGTCTCGCCCAACTCCCCAAAGCTAGCCAGGATTTCTACGGCATTGTCGACTACGCCTCCTCCATGACCTTCGAGCTCTTCACTACCAGCACCGCCGCCAAGCCCAGCACTGACGACATCAATGTCCGCTTCCTCTTCGCCAACGGGACTGCCGCCAACAACGAACTCAAGCCTTTCCCTCTCTTCGGCCAGGACAAGACCTCTCTCTCCTGGAGCGACTTCAGGTCTGGCATGACCAAGTTCGCCATCGCCGACACCAAGCACTGGTGCACACTCTGCGGCAGCACCAGTAGCACCTGTGCGGCCAACTCCACCTCTGGCAGCGACGACCCTTCCGCCCAGTCCAACGCCTCTTCTGACAACGGCGTCTCCAAGCCCGTCGCCGGCGTCATTGGCGCTCTCGTCACCCTAATAGTCATCCTCGGCATCCAGGCCGCCGTCATGCTCTTGGCCGGTCTCCGCCTCGTCAGAAAGTCTACGTTGGCTAGAGCCAACAATGGCCCCGAGACCGCTGGCATCAAGGGTCAGTAGTGTCTTGTCGATGTCACCACTCGTCTTTATATTTTTTGGCTCCACGACTTTAGATTGGAGCGGGATACCTGAAAGTGTCTAAAAATTTCCTTGAAAAAAAATCATCATGTACATAATGTAACTGTACATCGTGTAAATGTTTTACGGCCAACAACGAAAATGCATATTCATGGGTATAGGAAGGAAGGTCACACAACTAGGGCAATGCAGTGCCTGGAGAGTTTGTACATAGTCAGATACCACTTGATTGGATAATGAGACAAAATTATGCGAACAATGAGAGTTGCACATCATTCCTCCCATGTTGATTTGAAGTCTTGAATGTAAATTCCTGTACAATAGTCAGCCCACGTTTAGGTAGATGTTAACTAGGCTGTAAGCTGTTCATATTACTTTTCACTATAATCTGAAGATGAACCCCTTCAAGCCTAGAGTTCAAGCCATGATATCCTGGCTGTTAATGCATTAAACCATCGATATTAACCGCACCCAACTCCCCAGCAGTAATCCGACAATGACTTGTTCCCCCCCCCCAAAATGCATCAAAGAAACGACACTCCGGTAAGGAGGTATTACGATTATCGAAGACGAGTCAAGGCTAAAAGGTCGTTGCGGGTATAGAATGCTCTGATACGCTTCCCGAATATATCTGTTCTAGTTAGAATGACTGCCTTCATGTGGGGGGAGACGAGAAAACTTACACAGCGGTAGGCTGAGCAAACAAATCCCCATTTGAATAGATGCTACAATGAGAAACACGGTCCGGAATCCACCGCCAATAACCCAGTCGTACGCATAAAAGGTAAGAACGAAACTGAAAATGTTCTTGAAGATAATCATCAAGGTAAACCCTTCAATGGTTAAATCGCCTGTAAATGGGTGTCAGTTTTAAAGAAAAAAGACTAGGGTGAATCCATGTTAGCAGGACTTACGGTACGCGTCTACGATGTACAGTGAACTAGCAACACTGCCAATAACCATGCCGCCGACTTCAAAGGCAAAGAAAACCAACGGAACAGTGTACGAGTACTTGCCCGACAGCAGGTCGTTGGATGTAATGCCGAATCCGTATAGCCCAATTCCTGCTGCAATGAGCATAGGAATAACGAGGATAAGTCGAAACTCGGGCTCGTAAATGCCATTGTTACGCTTTGTGAGCGCCTTTGCGGTTGTATCGGCCAAAAGACCAGAAATAATAAAACCCAACAAGGCTCCCAGAAACGGCGCGGTGTAAGTATAGCCGGCCTTTTCCTCGCCCCAAAAGAATGGTGGTCCAATAAAGACGACAGCAATAATAACACCAATGAAGATGGTCCATCCAATCATAGCACCCTGGATGAGGCAGCCCCAAACAAAGGCAGGGTTCAAGATAAGGGGGAATGGCCGAAGGAATAGGACCCAATAGCGTTCATGAGTCTTTCTGCCGTCGAACAACGACATTGACTCGACAAAGGTCTTCACTGGTGTATTCGCGTGGCCGATTGGCTGCATCGCCGACGACTTCGGGAAGAGGATAAATCCATGGGGGCGAGGAGGTTCGACAGGTTGGGGAGCCGTAGAGCTAGGAGGACTTGTGGAAGGGTTCAGTTTCTCCTCTTCGACCACGCTATCGATGTTGAGTTTTGCCTCGCGTCTGTAGGCAGTTTCGGGACAGAAGAGGAACACCGCAGGGAATGTGACGGCCGAGAAGATGGCTAACAGATAGAAGGTCCACTGCCAACCAATCGTGTGTGTGATTTTGCCCACGACAACAGGGGTAAAGAAAGCACCTCCAAAGACGGCCAAATTGGTGAAGGCCATGCGGACACCGCGCTGGTGGACGCAGTACAAGTCGCCGACAGCGGCATTGAGCAAACTTTCGAATGGAGCGGCACCGATGCCCTGGAAGGCGCGGGCCGCGGCGAGGCTGTTGTAATGAGATTTTTGATCTCGCGACTGACCAAACGGGGCATCTCTAGCCTTTGGAGGGAAGTTGCCGGTAGCACCACCCCAGGCGCTGGAAAAGATGACAAAGATGATGCCAATCAGGAACAGATGGCGTTTGCCCCAAATGCGACCAGAGGGAACGAAGAAGATTGCAGCGCAACCAGCGCCGAGCAGATAGTAGCCCGTTAACGCGGCGGTATCCGACAGAGTGGCGCTGAAGTAGGCGGAAATAACAAGTGTATTGGAAGCTAGAATGGCGCCGAGGGCGGTGGCCAAGATGGCAGCAAAGCACAGGGTGAAGGTAATTAGATCACGCTTCCATATTGGCCAATTGAGGGGATCGTTGGGGTCATCAGAAGGTTGAGGGACCTATGTATGCAAGTTGCAAAATGGCATCAGCTTCCATCAGAGACTCTCGGATTGCAATTTTGGAGGCGAGTTTAACGTTCATCGTTGGCAGGACGTGGGAGGCGGGACATACGAGGATGATGTGGGAAATCGGATCGGATTTCAAGTGTTGTTCATTGTCGGAAGCCTCTTGTGGGCGGGTTGGTTCGTCAAAGTATCTTGTGGTACCTGAGTAAATCGGATTTGGTAAGTGGTTGGTGTGTTGGTCCAAGTTATTGCCGTCATCTTGTGCAACTTGGCGTGCGACGGAGGCGAGTGTGCATGTGCATACCTGGGACCCTTTCGTGGCCATGAGCCTCGAGAATTCCGAGGCCCATCTTTATGCTCTACCGCCGTGTCTTTGAACAGTCGAGTTCTGGGTGTCAGTGAGAAGACAAGATGTGCATGGCGATTTAAAGGGAGCGCGAGGGAGACCTCTAGGGAGATGGAGGGACGCGGAGGATGTGAGATGGGATCAAGGGTACATGTACGGAAAAGATGCAGGGTGAGGACTAGAATCTATGGGGACCAGGGATGTTTAAAGTGTCGACGGCTGCGACATTCTGACAGGGACTACTCCGTACTCCGTCTCCGTAATAGCTGCCAGTCCACGCGCCAGCTCCAGGGCGGCGTCATTGGGGCGTTGACGGCGGGCCCGAGGCACCTCGTCGCCGTGGGAAGGAGCAGTCCAAGCTGCTATCCGAATTGGGTTGCGCGCCAAGAACTCAAGGAACTCCAAGTCACCAACACCAGACTCTGCTCATGACGAGCACTGGAGACCTCGGAACCATCCACGGAGTAGCCGTTGCTACACTTTTAGGCATCTTCCGTCACTTGCCAAACAGCCTGCGTTACGTGCCATCTAGTCCAAGAGCCATCAAAAGCATACACTCATGTCGTGGCCAACACCCACGGCCGTGGCGCACCGGGACCACAGCTGCATCACGAAGCCTGTGACACCATGACACACAGCAGAGCCGTCTCGCTCCTCTCACTCGAATGCTGCGGGACGCATAAACGGCTCTTGCCGCTTGTCTTGGTACGCAATGCGGAACGACCATACTTGATCTTGTACTCTGTAGCGTGCCACGCAACATGGCACCCAGGCCTTCTCCCGCACGACGTCGGTAAGCAATCAAAGACGGACGCCACCCTCCACCACAGAATCTCCCAACCAGTCAGCATATGTCGGAAATGTCCAGGACCTGCGCAAGGAGCTACTCATTAACAGGTGTGGGAAGCCCCTTGAGGCGTTTGCACAATAGTAGCACTAGCATACGCAGACATTCTACCCGTTTAAGGATTTGACTCGACTCCGAACGGCCAAAAGGAGACACCGATGGAAACCCCCGTGCTAGACAACAAGCTGTCTTTACGACCACGATTCATTAGTGGTACTGGTAACCAAGGGCCCCAAAGAGCAGCTGTGCAAGACCACAGGAGTCGTGCGTGGTGTGTTGTCGTCGGTCGACCTCAAAGACCTGTGGGTTATGTTCGTCACAGGACTTGCAACGACCTCGACGTTCGCACTTTTCCAAGGAGTTGCCCGCTCTATTCCTTTTGTCGGCAAGTATGCGAACACGAAAACGAACATGGGGGGCGGCCAATGCGGGGGGATTCGCCATGATCTACTACTTGAGCATGATCAAACAAGTCCCGAATTGGGACATCTTCTGCTCCCTATTTTGGATATAGACCTAAACGCTTCGAATAGGGTCGAAAATTTGCCACATGTTGGCAGTACATGGTTAAAGGGAAGCGTAGGCCATCTATACCTTCTGAAATCTTCTCGGCATTGCCTTTTGAGTCTCTTCTCACTATCCATTAGAAGTCGCAATAAATCCAACTGCTGCCAACGTTTTCGGGGACCATGACGCGTCAAGGAACAGCTGCATCCCTAGGACCATTTATTTATCGGCCGATTCGTGCAGGAAGATGCGTTACACATGAGCGACTCTTATGTATGTCCGCCGCCCAGTCTTGATTCCATTTGCGGGGTAGTACCGAGTACTCGATGCATGTGTTTCGTTTCCTACCGAGCAACTCAGCCCGACAAAGGTCCGGGAAGCCAGTTTCGCAAGCTGCTACCGTCAAGCGACACAACTAGTATATGTGAAACATTTTGTGGAATATCGATCAGCAAAGGTGACTTGTCTTGCTAGCCTAGCATCCAGACTTCCAGATGTGCTATCGAATTCAGTGATGTCGGCAGCCAGCACACCCAGCTGATTGCATACAAACACCGTGTAATACATCACAGATTTTCCCGCCGAGGCCTTCACATGACGGTATTTTCCCTATAATTATGATTTCTACTGTAAAAGTTTCCCTCTCGCTTGCTCTGATGTACATATTGACATGGAGAGTAAAATCTGCCAAGCTACCAACCGTGTGGAACAAACGGCAGGCTGTCTTGTGCTCACTACGTACATGGTACTACATTACTTTTCTTCTTGATTTATATGATGGTTCCATTCTACATGTAAGCCGGAGATGATGGTCATATCTTTCACCTGGGGCCATCGAAATGCCTACCGAGTCCCAGCAATGTCCCACCAACAGAATAAGTAGCGACAACACATCGTGCATGAAATCCATCCTCGATAGATTCAACACCATCACTAGTCCCGCTTCTTCTGTTCCTCAACCCAGGTATTCCACTCGCCAACCAAGACACAAAGCCCTTCAGCCGTGCTACAAACGCCCTCGTAGCCCAACCCTCCCTCGCCAACCGGCCTCCTCGCATCCCCATCGTCAGCAATCTGTGTAACCGCCGAGTCCACAATGCCTGGTTGGAACAGACACATGGGTTCCGCCGGCTCCCTCAGCCCTAGCCTTCCCAAGGCCGGCATCTTCTTCAAAAGTACGCAGTAGGCCTCGATCGCAAACGCCACCAGCAGCAACACCGCCGGCGGGGGGTAGTCTACCTGGAGCCCCGTAACGCTGAGCTCATCCAGCAAAAGATAGAGGTCATCAAAGCGCATCGGCGGGCCCTCGTCCGTCACCGTAAACGGCCTCCCGGACACAGCCGCGCCGGCGTCACCCACCAGCGCCTCCTGGAGGAGCAGATGCGCGAGCGAGACGTTCCTCGCGCCGACCCAGCTCTGGACCCAGGGCGCCGAAAAAGTAGGCACCCGACCGCGCCGCAGCATCCGCCCGATAATCTGGTCGTCCCTGTGGCCGTACACGCCATTTCCGGGACGAATACACCCCGTCCTGAAGCCGGGAGTGTTTGCAGCGCATACCACGCGCTCGGCCTCGGCCTTGCTTCGCGCATAGTTGCTCGGGAACTCAGCCGGCGACTTGGACGGCTTGAAAAAGTCCCTGTCGGAGAGGTACTGGATCAAGTTTCGTGGGTGACGGCGCCACGGGAGCGAGAACCAGTGCACCGCGCGGGCGGCCACGTGGGAGCTCGAGGTGAAGATGAAGATGTCGGCACCGGCTTTCTGCGCAGCAGAGATGGAGTTTGCCGTCCCGACCACGTTGACCCGCGAACAGCGCGTGTAGAACAGCGGATGTCGCTCATAGGGCCGGATCACGGCTGCCGTGTGGAAGACCGTTAGTGGCAGGCGGGCGACTGATGATGGCCATGGTGTTTCAAAGGCCGCCGCCGTTGATGCGTCGGATGTAATGTCCGCTTGGGCAAACAATACCCGGGATGCTCGTCCAGAGATGCTGAATTCGTCACGGGAGGGCGGCCGAATGTCCACCAGTCGAATTGCTGATGGTGGTGTCCCGCCGTCCAAGAGGTCGAGGATAATTTGAGCTCCAACAAGACCTGGGGTTTAGCAAGTCAGTCAATGGGCGTCAACAGACAAATTCCAAACGATCCAAAAGATCCCAGAGATCCCAGAGACGGGGTGGCCAACCGGAACCACCAACAACGATATATCTTCTGTTCAGCCTTGGCGGGTGATTCTTGCGAAAGTCGATCCCTTCAGCTTTAATCTTTGCGTCAACTCTGCGAACGTATTCTCGGGTCAATGCCTCTGCTTTGTAAATAGATATACCCGACGACAGTTCTGGAGTCCGCGTCATAATTTTGTTCAGTCGCACAATGAACACCACCACTCCAAGTAGCACAAGCAGCGATAATAGAATCATGGTGATGGTCGAATGACGCCGGTATAGGGCCTACAGGCAACCACTGTTGGACAGCAGCCAAGATGCCTTCAACTCGTTCTTGTCCCATCTTATGTGCACCTTGAGCAAGCTTGGATCCGGCCGCTTCTGCCGTCAATGGCATTAAGCGCTAGCAACGTCGCTTAAGCATGGCAGCTTCCGGACCCATCGATTTCGATACGCATGCCACTCCTAGCACCCAAAAACATCGGAAGCAACCTTACTGGACATGCAATTACCTAGGCACCTAGGTATGAATGCAATGGCACAGACACGTGAATTGAACCATCATACCACACCAATCTGCAGATGCATGTTATATAACTAGTACTATTTTAACGACTCTGCCAAAAGTGGAGGCCTCCTACTTGAAAGTTGAGGAGATCCCCTTCCAAGGATAATTACCAAAGCTCCATCTACCTCCAGCCTATCCCAGTGCACCCCCCCGCACAGCTTCATTCAGCTATCTCCTGATGTCAATCCTCATTGTGTCCGGCCAATATCTGCACACTTTCATGGTACTTCACCAGGTCACCAAAACCGTACTGGACCTTTTCGCGCTTCCTCCTCTGCGAGGGAGTTACCAAAAGTCAACCCACCGTCATTTGACTGTCCGTTGTCATTGTAATGCCCGATCTTATCTAGGCTTCCAATCATCTTCAGAGCCGGGCCATATAGGCTAAAGAACAGACCTTGGGATGAAAGATCTTCAGAACTCCACGATGATTTACCACCAATAGACAAGCCGGAATTTTCTTGCATGATTTTCTCCATTCTTGATGAGGTTAGGTATGCTTCGAACCACATTTTGGGGTTGCAGTCGCCCTGGCGCTTAAAAACACTCCATTGTCGACGATTGTCCCGTGCGTCGCCCGGCGACAGCTTCTGTGTCATTACAACAGAAAGATTGCTATCCATCGTATTGGTGCTTGAATATTTTGCCACATGACATATCGCGACTCCTTCGATTACAAGACCCAGTTTCTCATTGGCTGTAAGCTCAAGGGCCGTGATCCCATTCGGAACTGGACTAAAAAGACAGGTTAGTAGCTCGCTCACGCACATTGAAAGTTGTTATTCGCTTCAACTTACATAATGTGGAGAGAGTTCACAATAATCTGGCCAAAAACTCGATGAAGTACAGACATGTCCAAGTTCTTGGAACTATCTCCGCACACTTTAATGTCCCATGGGTGTTGAGGGCAGTGGACTAGGACGGAGCCCAGCTCAATGACTGGCCCCTGACACTTGTAATCGAATGTGTCCGCATTGATTTCTACAAAGAATGTCTCCCCTTTGAAGTTGCACGTAACTCGGAGCATAATCCCGATGACTGGCTTTGTCCACATCGGTATTGGTGTTGATGTCCCGGCTATTGCGTCAGCATCTGGTCCAATTGTGGATAGGACTGTAGAGAACCGAAGGTGTCCAGATGGTGTTGCATCTTCCAAATCGTCAAGAAGGTTAGCCATTCTCCGAAATGGGCCACTGAATGGGCCACTGAAGTCACTGGTAACATCAACTTGTTCGGCAGCAAAATTTACTATGTAAAATCGACCAAACTTAAGACGGACTGTGGCGTGACCAGGTGCAAACTGCATCATGGATGCTAACGATTTAATGCGCTCTTCCAAAGACCTGGCTGTTTCTGTGTCCACGCGTGGACGACCGCTTGAATGGATTGTTTTCTCCATACTGCACTCTCCAGGTGGAAGAGGGCTACTCATATGAGAGCTTGGCAAAGACTGATTGTCATTCTGCCTAGACTGAATGTAATGATTAGTCCAAGCTTGCGGGGAAATGAGGCTTGTGAGTATATGTATTACCTCTAACGGTAGTGTTGTGCTGGTGGAGGACATGGGTATAAGTTCCATTAGCTCAATTGGTGCACAGTCATCTAAGAGGCTTTGTTGCTGTTTGCTTGACAGCTGTCCCCGAGAGCAGTCAATATTAATATCCTCGTCAAAGCAAATGAGGTTCTCTGACTTGAGAGAGTCATTAGATGCGTGGCGGGTGGGGAATCGAGGCGAAGGACGGCTTGTAATAGTAGTCTCTAGAAGCGTGGTATGAGAGATCCCTTCTGTAGAAGCTGTGCCCATGCCTGGGGGCGAAGAACCACCTTCACATGCAGTCAAAAGATCTACATTTGGACCTTGCTGTGTCGCTTGTTGATCTTGAAGGATGAGCACTTCTGCTTTCTTGAAGAGGTTTGAGATGGCACTGGCTTCTTTGCTCTTATACCTATAGCCATTGAATACGCTAAATGACTTGGTTTTTTTCGGTTCAATGCCTCCCTTGCAGGGATAACTTGTCGAATCAGATTTCCAGCCATCTTTCCTCTTCGTGGCAGTCCTGATAGTCACGGCCGATCTTAGCAACCGGTATTCAGTTTTCAAGTCCTGGTTGGTAGCGTATGTAGTCTGTAGGAGACCAATTTGAGACAGGTACTTATAGACAAACTTTGTTTTGCCCTCGCTCTCATTATAGATGAGATGATGTTGGTGGTCAGAGATGGTTAACTAGGGATCAAAGGGTTAGTAATATATATGACTTCGCCTTCGATATCCTATAGACTTACTGCACACTGTAGGAGGTTATCTAGAATGGCGACTGCTTTGGTTATGGCATGTTCGCCTGCGTTGCTACCTAGATATAGCATTGTCCCTCCTAAATTATGAGACATGTCGCAGCCCAGCAGCGGCCCAAGGCTGTCGAAGGAATCAGGAAAGCCTAGATGATGCCATCCATCAGGTAGTTTTGTCAGTCTCTCAAACGTGTACCCTTTCTCCATCACTAGCCCGGTCCATGCCTGCTTATACGACAACGCTTGCATGGCCGCCGGGTATCTATAGTTATCCAAGGCTCGCCCATAGTCTTCTTGTGAGGTCGAAAGCCTGGCCCAGGGCATAGCATATGGAGAGGACATAATGTCAAGTCGTAGCTCACTGGTTGCGTACCCCAATGCTCTGTCAGCGACACGACATTCATCAATAAATTTCGACAAACATCCTTTAATCATGTCTGTAACTTCGGCTTGCCAAAGCTTATGCGTCATAACCTTGAACCATGGAACCTGGGGCTCATAGAGGATTTCTAAAATACGCTGATTCTGCTCCTGATTAGTTTTTGCATGCAAAGAGGGTTTATCCTTGAAGTCTAAGAAAACTTGCCTCTCCGTTCCATTCTTCCACCCAAGTCATGACCTGTTTGACGCCACCCGGCTTCAAAGGAGGATTTGAAGCGATATAAAATTCGATCCACGGACAAGAATCCATGGTTTCGATTTGACACGATTGGCTGGTGAACCGAAAGGCGGCACTCCAGCACGGAGGTCGCTTGGAATCTGTTCGTCTACCATTGTCTTAGCAAAAATCGAAACAACAAGGTCAGACGTGCACTGTGGAAGAGAGATATGGCCTTGAGAGACCTCGATCGTGGCTCATTCAATCCACGAAGTAGCACATTGCACATCTTACCAACAAAGGCGAGCTGAGTTGCTCTGAACGTTTGCAGGTAGAATTGCGACAATGACTGAAAGTCATAACCAGTACATCATCAGAATCAGTTGACATATTTCCATTTCCTAGCAATATACATACATCCAAGTGACCAAGACTAGATTGTCCATAGCTGAAGTTAGCAGATGGAACAAGAAAGCAACAAGGCTCGTCGGTCCGTTGAATACCTTGGTGCTCAAGTAGGTAGTACAGTGCTGAAGAGGTGAGGAAAAGTGGCCAGAACTTTGGAAGAAGCGACGAGAGAAAGTAAAGCCGGATGCAAAACAAAAAGCAGAGTCGTAGTAATCCATCCAGGTTTCACTTGTGGCATATATATGCAAAGAGTCAGCGTAGGCACATTGCTAATGCAACACAGGAAACTCACCTGCTGAAGGGAACGGGACGTGGCGGCAGAGTATGTTCCTGTCGCCACAGACTGCAGAAATATGAAGAAGAAGAAGAAGAAGAAGAAGAGGAAGAGAGAGAAAACAAGGGGCGAGAAAAGCACGCGAGTATTATGTATGACAGTGCCAGCTGGCTGCACCTGCCCGACGACACCCACATGCACCGACTGCAGGCACGCTCACACCAAGTCGGATTCGGAAACTTCTAGATTGCAAGTATCACCGAAACAAGCACACACAATCTATTGATAATCAACTAGGGGGTATCTGGCGTGTTACCAAGTATAGTTCAGAAAAGTGAAGAAAAAAGACGTATACATGCCATCCCATGTTTGTTGTATCATCAATGCATGCTTCCTGCCGCCTACTAATCCTTCTGTATAGTGTACTCCCTCCTCTCTTCACAACGCACCGGTCCTGAAAGAAAAAAGCGATGCCAAAAACCCAAGACTCAGATGACCCAAGTCCACCAAGTACGACGCAAAATAATAATAATATGCAGCAGGCCTAACATGTGCGAGGGTACTAGATTGGTCTGAGTGAGAAAAAGCCAAGAAAGAGACCAAAAACGCCGCCAAGCGCCTCATTATAATCCCCCCTCTTTATGGATTGAACGGGGACCGAGACTGCGGGAGACATCGTATCCTATTCCGTGGTGGCCAACCTATCGTTGTTGACGTGTTCGTCTATACTGGTGGTGACGTAAATGCAATAACAGGTGTAAAAAGCAAGTGTTCCATGGTCGAAATTGACGCTGTGAAGCTGCAATGTCCCCGAAGCTATAGTAGAAGTCTGATGACGGAATCGGAAGGTAGCGTAGCGGCTGAGCGTCTTGGTAGGTAGTTAGCAACAGCTCGTTGGCAAACTGTTGTAGGGGAACCATGTTGTTCCCTCATTGCGCGCCTCTGACGTTCTCTTTGACGTTCAAGGCCCATTTCAGCTTATGAAGGGCTTCTCTCGCCTCATCCAGCTGCTTCTCCTGTTCGGTTTGTCTCTTCTTCGCGTTGGTCTTGATGTCTTTCAGGTCCTCTTCTTGAGTCCTCTTATACTCCTCAAATAGACGAGCGATCTCTTCCTTTTCCCGCCTTAGCTCTTTAATATTGTTGTCTTGTTGTTCACACAAGTCCCTCAGAGTGGTGATCTTCTCATCGTCAGACCTCCGTTCGTCGACAATGGTTGTGATTTCCCCCCTCATTTTAGACACAGCACGTTTGACTTCCTCGCCTTGGTCTCGCCAGTGAGAGGAGATGGCGTTATATCGGCCTTCCATCAACTGCGCATAGCTTGTTGCCTCTTCTACGCGGACCTTTGACTCGTTCTTGACCCTTTCTAGTTCGTCTTTCCAGCTTCTTTCGCTCGCCACTGCTGCCTGTGTTTTCCTCTTCTCGAGTTCCACCGCACCCGTAAGCGACTCTACCTGACGTTCTTTCCGAGCCAACAGTGTTTTTGTTACATTTGCTTCCAGCAAGCGACCCTCATACTCGTTCATGATCCGCTCCATTTTGTCTTCTAGCAATTTAGCAGCCTGCTTGGCCTCCTCTGCGCGCAACCGCTCAATTTTGATGTCTCGCTTTAGGGCGTCATTGTCGCTAACAAGCTTATTGATGACGCGTCCCGTCTTTCCTAGGCCAGCTTTTCCAATTGTTGAATCCCATTGTCCATTGTCCATTTCTTCCGGCAGCATCGATGGGTCATGTACGAGGCACGGCTCAACCGCTCGCACGCCATTGCCGTGCCACCTTGAAGGCGTCGTCTCAGCTCCACTGTCCTGCTTTAACCTGGTCGTCGAAGGTGTCTTGTCTTGTTCGGCATCTGTGCCCGGCATGATTGAGGCGGTACCGGTGGCGGAACTGACGCTACTGGAAAGGACACTGCGTCTGCTGTCGGGACTGGACTCGGAGCCGTCGAGACTGGGAACACTGCGAATAGTGGCCGACCTCGCAAGAGCGTGTTTCGCAGCGTTGTTTGCCGGACGCGGGGTCGTCATACTGTTTACCGTGCCGGTCGACGCTGGCGCAAGGATCTTTGCTGAAGCATCTAGTTGTGCTTGGCCATGTGCAGGTTTCGGAGCTGCGAGAAAACACGTATGTATTAGAATAAAGGTCGGTTTGGCCTTTTGAAAAGACGGCGGGCGTGAATGAAAGGGAAAGCAAGGCGGGCTGTGCTCAAAGCGTTGTCCCCTTTGCGAGGAGGTAAGACTGAGGCTGACTGATGTGAGGGTGACAAGCCGAGACAAGCACTCTCGAGGAGGCCAGGCCGGGCACCACGGATATCAGGGTCCTTGCGAGCAAATGTACGGTACAAAGGGAAGGGGGAATCAATCGTACCGTGCGCAGTGTTTCGATGGATAGCAAAGTCTCGCTTCTGTAGTCGCTTCATGAACATTTCGCAGAAGAGTAGATGAGTGCACACGTCGCCGTGTCTTGTTGCACGATCCCCGGCTCGAGTGATAGACGGTCCGTGGGTGGTGGATGTGTGTGTGGAGTCAGGAGAACAGGCGAGTTAGCGGCGGGTGGTCGCGGTGCTGTCAGGCACAGCGCCGCCATCAATTGATCGTAGGTGCATTAAGTACATACACCCACTGTACACCCACTGTACACCCACTGATGTAATGTCAATTGACACATGTGCAGTCTGTCTGGTGGCAGAAGCATACACTAACATACTACAGCACATATATCCTAATACATCCTGGTATAGAGGTCGATAGCTAGGTTCTCGGCCTGGTTAAATACTTTTACCTCCCACTGTAAGTACATGTGTACTCTTTACTTTGGAGTTCCGGACAGGCCAGGGCGTTGGAACGGGCTCGACTCTGGGGGAGGGTGTTGTGAGGCCGTCAAAGGGGCGGAGCTGTCGAATGCAAGCAGCACCCCGGACGATGGCAGTAAGCGCGGGGGCAGAGCAGACTGGACAGAGAGTCCTGCGGCAGTCACTCTAGTACTGTAATGAAAAGGACATGGAGCCAAAAACCACGTTCCATCGAGACGGAAATGCTGCACGTTCAATCGGCGGCCAGTTCAATCTTCTGCAACAAACCATCGCCAAACTCCCGACGAAAGCCCATCCGGTCGGCCTATTCCCGGGAGGAAAAGAAAACATTGAAACCATAAATCCATCCGCAAGCACACCAATGCTCCCGCCGAGAGTCTCGTCGGCTGTCATTTGTCAGTTCTGACGCGGCCAGCACCACAGACAGCCCTCTCTGTCTGGGCTCTTTGTTTGTCTCCCCATTCATCCAAACAACAAAAACGGAGTACTACTACTATTATTACATACATACATACGTATTATTATTATTGCCAGGGGCTCTGCATGCATAATGCAGGACACCCAGCCCGGTCCTGGGCGGGGCCGGGACAACAGGCTGCCACTAGCTTGCGGTGGGCGCTGTGGGTGGCGCAAAGCCAATTCCGATCCGATCAATGCTTTGACCAAATTCATTCCAACGCCTGTGTCAGGGCAACCACGTCCACGTCTGCGTCTCAGTTTGGCCATCTCCACCATCACGCGATCTGGCAGAGCTTAGTAAAACGTACTGCATCTCAACTACTTATCTGAATCGTACCAAGCCCCGTGAATGAATATACAGACGCTTTCTTGAGTCTCAACCCCGTGTCTGATGCCCCCTCATTCCCTCTCATATTCTCTATCGGCCCCTTGTGCCTGCCTCTATTGCCTTTATCAACCCGTCTCCGTGTACAAAACTGTCGAGTGTCAAACTCATCATTGATGGGAATAACGTCCAGAATCCCAAGATACCTCTCTCATTCCCGAGTGAACGCCTGTGAAATGCCTCGTATGATACCGCAAAATCATCTACAACGTCGTCTGTGCGCGCTCTCCCCCGAGAACAATTCCCACTTCCTGGGAAGAAGACCGGGAAATCCACAATGTACGACCAAAATTACAATGGCGAACATCCTCCGAATCTCTCCTCATGTCGCAATGGCTGTTCCTGATGATTCTAGACCAGTGCTGTCTCTGTTCGCCTTGGCCTCGGCCGCTTCCACGAATCCAGGCCGATACTTGGACAGGTACTTGCCTGCCATTGGCCTGGCATCCTCAACTAATCGAGGTTAGCAAGAGGCCCAGAAGAGACCGTGGGGGAAAATGAATAAATATATATAAAAAAAAAGGAAGGGGGGGGGGGCATAAAGAAATCTTACACTCTGTCCAGATATCCTGAACGGTATCGAGAGCCATTTCTTTCACAGGAGGCCGCATCATAGCCAAATACAACAAACTCGTCAGAGCTAACTGCGTAACGCTAGGGTCACGGCACATGTCTTTGACTCTTGACAGCATAGCACGATTCAACTCGGGTATTTCGCTTAAAAACCTGGTCAAAACCTTGTCTTGTGGGTGAAGGTAGGGAAGAAAGCCGTTTATCAGTCGTAATGTGTTTTTCTCGTAGTTTCCGGGGTAGTCCCCGCCCAATCGAGCCTGCATTTTGTCATTGTACCATTCCTCGCAGAGCCATGACACGGCGACATCGATATGTTTTCGGAAATCCTCCATAACATAGTTGTATATAACTTCGCGAATAGTGTTGCCAAGAGACGGTTGCCGCGACGATTCGTCTTCTTCGCCTTTTACGGAAATTTCCTCTAATCCAGTGGACGACCGCGTGGCAAGTCGGGTTAGTATGGTCATCCAGGCGTCCTTGCTCCCCGAGCTTGCTGCCAGACGGATAAATCCAGCCTTATGCTTCTTGGCCGTAGGTTCCTCCAGTGATTTCATCATATCGACCACCTTTGCTACTGTTCCACTTCCAGCGCTAAGTGCCGTTTCGGGTGTAAGTTGAGCAGGCTGAGGTAAGCTGAATGATGCCAGAGCTAGTGAGCTATCCAAAGCTGTGAGTTCAGCAGGAAGGGGCGGCGATGCTCCATCTAGCTTGTTCAAAATTTGCTCGGTATCTTCTGCCTGATAGAAATCGGGTTCGTAGTCATCGTCGTCTTCGTCGACGCCAAGCGGTGCAGTATTAGGATTCAATTCCGGAGCAGGTGCATTAGCCAACGTGGTGAGTCGTCCACGCACTCCGTCAACAGCTTTTGACAGGAATTGAGAGTCTATACGTGATAATGCTGTGACTGTGACCTTTGCTATCATGGCAGCTGGGACTTGTGACAAGTCAAATGACTTCAAACCATCGTGGCCAACAAGTGTAAACATATCGGCCAAGCTGTGTGGCCCAGAGCCAAGGGGTGGAATTTGTGGTGTATATGACTCAGCCACTCGCTGGCGTTTGGCATCATAACCATCGTGTTGCTGTGCTTCCAGTGGTCGCTTCCTGCTAGAGTCGTCCAGAACATCCATCACCGTACGTGCCATGCGTTCAATATGCTGGTGTATTCTTGGTACCATTGGATTATGAGGATCTCGTTTAGTGACATGAAGGAGCAGTAATCTCGCAGTTTTCTCCATGGACTTGATCATGACTTTGCTCCTCGGTGTCAGGGGCGAGTTCGCTAATTGAAGAGGGTTGAAGCTAAGTAGTGTGTTAAGAATTCGGCTCGATGTCGCGGGTCTGGTCCGTACAAGAATTGGCAGGCTGTTTAGTGTCGCATCGACAACAAGAGTATCACTGTGCTCAAATTAGCCTCATTTATCAAGTTTGGGTTTCCATCACACTTACGTGCTCTCTTGCAAAACGACAAGCATACGATCTAAAAGTCCCGACGCTTCAGCCTCGAGGTTTCTAGGATCGAGTGACTGATGGTTAGGCGGAACCTTGTCTAGTGAGATGTCAAGAATACCGGCGTGCTATAATCCATATCAGATGCGTGTAAACGTAGCTCAAAGATAAAAGACAATACGCACTCGAAACTCCGCCCCCGTTGAGACGGTCTGCGCAAGAACCACCCTCTGGGCGAACTTAATGCAGCTAATCCTTACGGTTGGAACAGCACTCTCCCACAATCGCAATATTTTCTGCTTGATACTCAACATCTTATCCCATGTGACCGTATCGTACCCATTATTTATACTGCGACATATCACGGATTAGCGCATATTCTCAAGGCTATGCTGGGTCAACTTTCTGACACGGAGGCCTGTCCGTCCAACTTACATCCATCGCAAAGCCAGCGGATAAATACTCGCCGCCGTCAGAATAACACTCCGCAGCACTTGCGGATCCTCCCTCTCATTCTGCAACAGAGATTCCACCGTCGCCAGAACATAGAGCTGCATCGTTTCCTTCTCGCCGTTGGGGAGTGCAGGCGTTGAAAAAGCCTCGGCCAGGAATTCCGCTCCCCATCGTCGCAATTCAACCTGCGCATTGGGTCCAATGATTGGAAGAAGACCTCTCACCACATTCGGATAGTACTTTACATCCCCCAGAACGAGCTTTCGCGCGTCATTGAGCTGGCGGATCTGCTCCGGCACTGATAGGTTGGAGCTCATTCTTGCAATATGTTTAGGCCGCAGCCTCTCGTCGTCGTTTGGTGTTGCTACGCAAAGATGAAAACAATGATCAAGCTCGGCTCTGATGAAGGTGCCCGTTTGTGAGATGTCGTGTGACGAAAAGGCGCTACATAAGCATGGGCTCGATCGTGGTCTTGGACGTCGTGAGGCGGCTCTGTGGTCGCGCGACAAAGCCTCGGGGTGCCGAATCAGCTACCTTCCACCATCCCCCATGCTCTGTGTTCCAATCGTTGACTCCCGTACTGCCCGTCAAGGTAAGGTCCAAGCAAAACTCGTGCTGCCACGGTCCCGTAATGTTGTCTGGGTATAAGTGCCTTTTGTTGGAGGTGCAGTCAAGGTTTTGGCAGCAGCCAGGCATGAGACGCGGGTTGATCCACCCCTGTCATGGGGCCCAGCTGCAGTCTGGCTGATGCCGCCGTGCCTGGCCTCAGCTCCCCTGTGATGAGTGTACATTTAACCGATAATGAGCCGCCCGGCACCTTCAACTTCGGATTATAGATCGTACCATACGCAACTCTGGACATTGTTGCCAGGCTGGATTCACAGTGCATTGTGTCCACAACTCGCTCTGCTCAACTTGGGGCTCTGTCGAAACACGCTGAAACCATTTGGCGTCTTAATATCGATATTCAATCAACATGGCTGGGTTCGCAATCCCTCCAAATTTCCACGTCCGGCAAACCAGATTCTAACCTAACATCAGAAGCAGCGGACACTCAACATACTATGATCGCCGGTATCGCCAGGGCCCGGCGCTTATTCGCGCGCGCCGGCCTTACTTGTTCAAGAATGCATTCACTGGCCTGGGTCTTCTTGCCGTTGTAGGGGGCATATGTAAGGAGCTGGTCAACACGTTTCCTGGATCAGCATCAACCGTCTGACTTGTTGATATAGATTGGTACACACTAAAAGCTGTCGGACAAGACGATTTTGACGATGTTAAAGTCCCAGATGCGCCGCAAAATCCCGTACCCGCAAAATAGAGAAAGCAACTACGAGTTTTATGGGATTTTATGCCACGCACGGACAATGACAAACACCATCAACATTGCGACAAAGAAATCTAATATGGATTGGCAATGGTTGCATCAGGAGATATCGAATGGGGAGATTGAGATTTTATGTGTGAATGCAAAGTACAAGACTGTCTTGATGCAGCTACTTCGCTAACCATAAACGCCTCCCATGACATGAGACCACCCACCCCTTTGTATAATAGCGAGATATACCACCATCGCCATCTTTTCGTGCTATGTATGAATAAAACGGAAGGCAGATTGCGTAATTCCATTACACAATTATTCCCACCTGTTCCTAAGCCGCTGATTTCTTCCCTAATAATAATTCATCCGAACAACAAATGCAAGCCGCGCCACCCATGCAAAACTTTTTCCGACGAGGTTCTGGTCCATGTCAAGTTTTGTCCAAAGAAATAAACACCATATATACCAAACCAAAGCCAACATAATGTTCTGGGTATCATTTATCCGTTGCTGAAAGCATTTCGCCGGCACAAGTCCAAAAGAAAAGCAAGGCCGCCTCCCCAACTACATCCTGGGGCTTCACAGCTTAGCGCCTATACAGCTGCAGCTTTTGAGCTTCTGCCAATATTTGGTATACTTGCAACTCGCTTCATCTGGTGTGCTGCGGGGCTTAATACGGACCGTGATAGCTCAGGTGGTTCGGACATCTGATGAAGCACAGCAGGCGACTTGCGAATTGGCGTATGGCTATCAATCATCGTTTTCGCCTCTGCATGCGCAGTTGGCGCATGAGCTGTGTGTTGATTCGGCCGCCTATCTGAGGCCGTCACTGCTTGTCGGCTGTTAGTATGAACTGCTAATTGCTGATGCGCTTTGTGGGAAGAGTGCTTCGGGTTCGCCCATGGCGTGTCCTTAATGAACTGCTCTCCCGCGGGACCTAAACGACTGAATGTAGGGTTCGGGTAATCATCTCGCAAGTGAGCTGTACCTCTCTGCCGGCTCCGTCGGACTTGCTACAGTTGGAAATATAGTCAGATGTGATTCTGATAGTTTGCAGGCAGTAGCAGGTGGCAAGGGGTCACTTCCTTACCTCGATAGCGCCAAAATCGGCATCCACCTCCGCTGCCGATGCCCCTTTTAGTTCAGGGCCGGCAGGGAAGCCCTCATATTTGGCAATTCCCGCCAGAGTGGAGACTTCTGTGTTGTACGCAACCGCATTTCGTACTCGTTGCACGTGGTCTTTGGGGAAGAGTAGCCCATAATCTGGGAGACTATGCGCAGTCCTTCTCGCTGTTTGAACCTCGTACCATTGACGGTTGAGTGATTCCAGCGCAGCCTCGCGTTTTTCTCGAACAGCCTGAAAATACTGGCTCCAAACTTGGGCTCGTATTGCCACGGCACGTCGTTCGTGGGCCTCGATTCGAAAGACGAGTTCGTGGTTCATCTCTCGTACTCTCTTGTCTAACCGGTCATCTAAGCATTGCTTCATATTTAGATACTCGGGGTGCGTCGGAACGGGTGCAAGCAATGATTGCTCTTCCTCCTCAAGTCGTTGTAGACGGTCTTTGTATAGTCTAGGATGGTGTGAATTAAATATCGTGAACGCTTGAAAGCAAAAGAGATGACAAACCTGTCTCTAAATAACCCAAACATTTCTTCAATATGAGACCAATCCTTGAAAGCCGCGTTCTTTTTCTCAGCTGTGATCAGATTAGCAACATGAGAGTCGAATTTAGAACTGATTGGCAGAGCTAGGCCGTGACCTACCCTCCTCAATGCTTTTGGCAGCCAGATCAGCTTCGTCTGTGTCGCCCTCAACATCTTGAATTCTCTGTTCCGTGTCTTCATCTTCCACGACGTCTATTTGTTCGCCATTGGGGTCGGGCCCAGGTGTGTCACTAGGTGAGTTATCACCAGAGCCTCCTTTCCTCTTGGAACCGTTTCGCGTAAGTTTTTTAGGGACTCGAGATTCCTTCTCCGGGAGCTCACCGTCGGTGGGTGCGTCTTGATTTGCTGCAGAGATGTCGTCCTCTTCACCGGCAGATTGATCCCCGCTTTGGGGGATCGCCGGCGTTGTGTCGTCGTCAATGGAGGTATCCACGTCCGCACCAGTCTCGGCGGCTCCGAGTGAAGTGATTCGCTTTCGCAACGGCTGATCTGACTCGGATTGGTCTGCCATGGGCGAACGCTTTCTTTTCCTCTCTTGTGAGTCTCGTTTGGCGTCGCCGTCGACACTAGTGTCTTTGCTAGCAGAGGGTTTCGTAGGAGAATCGTCGCCAGAGACCACTGACGCATCGTCGGCCGACAATGAATCGTCGTCTCGGTTGTTATCATCATCGCCAATCAACCCGGAGGCGCTTCTTAGCTTGCTAGGGGTGTGTTCGAAAATCTGGCCTTGGTTGTACTGATCAACTACCACGTCTCGTCGTCGTTGGTTCCGCGGTGTGTCGTAAAGCCTTTCTGTTTCAGCCTCGGTATCATTGGCCTCTGAATTGTCGTCAGAATGGGCATCGGATAGAGCGCTTTCGGAGTCAGATGCGCCATTCTTGGTGTCGGCTTCTGGCTGGTCATCCCCACTGGCATTCGAGTTGTCGGCGTCATTGTTGCGGCCGTTCATCCGCATGTGCTCAATGTCCTCATCATTGGCTTCGCCGTCTTCAACCTCACTGAGAGGACTAGAAACGTTGCTGTCCTCAATATCAGCTTCACCGGGCCCTGGAGGCGTCACAGTGCCGCGCACAGAAGTGGTGGCCACCATGACTACTCGGGCTCCTTCGGTGGACGCTCGATCGTGTTGAAAGTGTGCTTCTGCTAGATGAAAAACGCAGTAGGGCCGGAACTACAGTCTTGCTCGGAGGAAAGACGGGCTCTTTGGCGGTGCGAGCAGGAACGAGGCCTTTCTGGGAGCTCTGCTGGGCAGCACCACACACAAGCCCAAGGTCTGGCAGAGAAACGAGGACGGGTGGGTGATGCGGCAGAATCTGCAGTTTGCAGCGAGGTGGTCGGGTCGGCCTAGCAGTGGAATTGGCAAAGACGGCACAAATAGGATGTAAAAGAAACATTCACAGAGCAATCGTAGTAACGGAGGGGGGGAGGAGCAAAGGTGTGGTGACGAAAGAAGAGGAAGACATGGACCGAGAGGGCGGGCGGCTTTCGCGCAGAATCGGCGGCGTCTGTGACAGTTCCGTCTCTGGGCAAATAAACTACGACCTTGATTACTCTGTACGGAGTAGCGCTGTGTGTGTGCGGCGTGGACGCTCAAGGGTGGGCGACAGCGGTGGGCGACAGCGCACCATGTGGTGACCAAGCCCGCGGTTGGCGGACCACCAACTCGCACCTGCCCATTTGATCGCTGTGCAACATGGCTATGGATGGCATTCGTACAGCGCATACTCCGTAGTAGCAACGCTGACAGCGGGCAGGCAAATGGTGGGACTTCTGGCGGTGAGTCGCGGCACAATCGAGGTCATGGGGACCTTGCACGGCCAGCCGCGAGCCTGAAGCCAATGACGCATTCTTCCGGCCGCAAGGCTCTGGCTGGTGGCTGTGGTTGTGGCCCACTTGACCTGGCCTCATTTGGTTGCAAGTGCACCTGCTCTCCGACTGGGGGTCCAACGTCCCAGAAATTTGGGGAACATTTATCGATTATTATTTTTTTTTTTTTGCCGCAGATAGGGTCAACTGACTGGCTGACAGCGAAGCCTGCAAACCGAGTCCTCTCAAACAACATTGACGCTTGGTCGCACAGCCAGTCCTCCCGAACTATGGCTAAAAAGTATGTTGAGGCTGCAATTGATCATCTTTTGGTCCTTATTGCTGTTCTTTTTCCATTCATGTCCAATAATCATTTGACTAACAAGGCTCAGAAGCTCAGTGTTGCAGGCTTCGTCCAAAGCAATTGACCCCACCCTCGACGCCTTGTTTGCCAGCAGTGTACGTGCATGAATACACTTGATCATTATCATTATGATCTGTTGATAGTTTAATTGCAGCTAACGCCTGACAGTCCGGTCCTGTGCAAGCTCCCTCAGCATCTCGCTACTCTGCGTTGCTGGAAAAGAAGCCTCGCGAGACCCTCAAGTCAGCAACCGAGACCGAAAACAACGAAGATGAAGATGCGGCAGAGGATGTTGAGGAGCTCTCAGAGATTAGCGAAGAACTAGAATACGACGAGGATAAGGATAGTGAAGACGATTCCTCAAGTAATGAGGACAGTGATGACGATGCGGGAGAGGACGGAAATAGTGAAGAAGATCTGGTAGAAAAAGGGGAGGATATTTCCATGGCGGAAGGTGAAGACCAGGTTTCGGAGGCAGGTAAAGATGGGAACCAACCCAGACGTGAGAGAAAACGGAAGAGAAAGGACGACAACGAAGACCTGGAAGCAAAGTACATGGCCGAGTTGACAAAGGATGACGAAGAGGAACCCTCGGGCAAGCGACAAAAAGCAGAGGGGAAGGACGATGAGGACGAAGAAAATGTGGTTCCAGTTCACGAAAGCTTGGCAAAGAAATCTACAGACTCGGATATCGAAAAGGCGTCACGAACAGTCTTCCTGGCCAATGTCTCAACAGAAGCCATCTCCTCTAAAGCTGCCAAAAAGACCCTTCTCACCCATCTCTCCTCCGTCCTGGATCCGCACGGCATGCCTGTCCAAAAACTCGAATCCATCCGCTTCCGATCCGTCGCCTTCTCTACGGGCTCCATGCCCAAAAGAGCTGCCTACATCACAAAGTCTCTCATGGGAGCCACGACCAAATCTACCAACGCCTACGCTGTCTTCTCTACCCCAGCTGCCGCCAGACTCGTCGCCTCCAAGCTCAACGGCACCGAAGTTCTAGGCCGTCACATTCGTGTAGACAGCGTTGCGCACCCCAGTCCCACAGACCACCGTCGGTGCATATTTGTCGGCAACTTGGGCTTCGTTGACGACGAAACCGTCGTCAACACCACCAAGGAGGGCGAAAATGTTGAAAAGAAGCGTACCAAGGTTCCCTCCGATATCGAAGAAGGGCTCTGGCGAACATTCAGCAAGACAGGCAAAGTTGAGAATGTCCGTGTCGTTCGCGATCCCACGACCAGAGTCGGCAAAGGCTTCGCATACGTCCAATTCTACGTAAGTTTCTCTGTGTTTTTTTTTCTTGGGTTTTTACGCCCCAACGCAGCCGCCCAATCTCTTTCACCCATAGTTGACCCAGGCATTACAGGACGCCAATGATGTCGAAGCGGCTCTCCTTTCCGACGGCAAAAAATTCCCTCCCATGCTCCCCCGCGAACTTCGCGTAACCAGAGCCAAGGACCCTCGCAAGACCGCCCGCACACAGGAGCGAGCTCTGGCGAAGGCGGTCGCGGCCGACAGCAAGTCCCGCAACACAAAGTACTCGCCGAAACTCACTCCCGAACAACAAGCTGCCGCCGGACGAGCAAACAGGCTCCTCGGCCGTGCAGGAGGCTTCATGCACCGCAAGAAATCAGGCAGCGACGGTGTCAACACCATGCCGAATCAAAAGGTTGTGTTCGAGGGCAATCGCGCATCGTCCAAAGATGGAAAACCGAAGGATTTGAAGTTTGGTAAGAAGAAGGGCAAGGGGAGGCCTCAGAATAGGGCGACCAAGAGAGCAGCCGAGTGGAGGAAGAAGTCTTCATAGAGGCTAGGCTTCATGTTTTTTTTTCCTTTTTCTGGCGTTTACATTCATTTATAGGCATGACCGGCTAAAAAGCATGGGCACATTAAATACCAAGATTTGTCTCGTCATGTCTCAAACACTTTCACATGACTGCAGGTGTTCCTCGGAAAGAGTAGATCAGCCATTGACATGATTATAGCGCCAATAAGGATGAAATGAAAAAAAAACATCTTCTCACGAACCAGGACATGACATAATATAAGTACGCATAAAATAAACGAGTCCAAGGGATATCTCAACATCAATTTCGCCTGCCTGCCAAACAAACGAGGCGGACTGCCTATATATTATGTATGGCGCTCAATTAATAAATGAAAAGGCTTTTTTTCCCGCTTCCCAAAGGATCCTATATTCATTCCAGTAATCTCCACCGTTACTTTGCCCATCTCGATATTATTGATACCAAGGCCATTAGGGTCAAAATCTCCGTTCAACAAGGTATACTGAGCATACTAGGAGTCTTTTACTGCTTGACAGTCCAAAAGCTCAAAGACAATCGAGACTCCAGCTCTGTAAAGAGGCAGAAGTGTAGCGAATGAATCATCATCCTTAGTATTCGAGCTCCTCCTCGGCATCGATGCCATCGGCAGCAACCTCCTCATAATCCTTCTCGAGGGCAGCCAAATCTTCACGAGCCTCCGTAAACTCACCCTCCTCCATACCCTCGCCAACATACCAGTGCACGAAGGCGCGCTTGCTGTGCATAAGGTCGAACTTGTGGTCAAGTCGGGACCAGGCCTCGGCAATTGCGGTGGTGTTGGAGAGCATGGAGACGGATCGCTCGACGGAGGCAAGAGCGCCGTCTTCGGCGGGGGCGGGGACAGCCATGGGCTTCTGGTAGTTGATTCCGAGCTTGAAACCTGTGGGACACCACTCGACCAAGTTAAAGGAGGCCTTGGCTTTGACTTGTGCGATGGCGGCAGTGCAGTCGCGGGGGACGACGTCGCCACGGTACAAGAGAGCGACAGCCATGTACTTGCCGTTGCGAGGGTCGCAGACAACCATCTGGTTGTTAGGCTCGAAACCTGTTTCAATCGCCATGTCAGAACAAATACCCAGGGGTCTAAGGGAAGTCGTTAAGGTTTGTGGGGTTTATATACTTACACTGGAAGGTGAGGTCTGCAACCTTGAAGCTTTCGTGCTTGCTCTTGGAAGCAGAAACAACGGGGGCATAGCTGATCAATGGGTAATGGATACGTGGGTAAGGAACCAGGTTGGTCTGGAACTCGTTGAGATCGACGTTGAGAGCACCGTCAAAGCGCAGAGACGAAGTGATGGAGCTCACAACCTGGGCGATCAAACGATTGAGATGCTCGTGCGAGGGCCGGGTAATATCCAGGTTGCGGCGGCAAATGTCGTAGACAGCTTCGTTATCGACGAGGAAAGTACAGTCCGAGTTCTCAATGGTGCTGTGCGTGGAGAGGACGGCATTGTAAGGCTCAACAACTGAAGTATTGGTACGAGGCGAAGGATAAACGGCGAACTCGAGCTTGGTCTTCTTGCCATACTCTGTGGCAAGGCGTTCCAGCATGAGAGCACCGAAACCAGAGCCGGTGCCGCCACCAAAGGAGTGGAAGATCAGGAAGCCCTGAAGAGAGTTGCAGTTGTCTATCCCAAGTTCCCTCGAATTAGTTTCAAAATACCACTACCAGACTAGAAGACAAGCAATCTCCCCCTCCACGATGACGGTAATGTGGAGAGCCCGCCTCGGGTTGTATTTACTCACCAGTAACGCGGCGAACGCGCTCCATGACAGTGTCAACCATTTCCTTTCCAATGGTGTAGTGGCCACGGGCATAGTTGTTGGCCGCATCCTCCTTTCCGCTGATCAACAGTTCGGGGTGGAAGAGCTGACGGTAAGAGCCGGTTCGGATCTCGTCAATGGGAGACGGGTCAAGATCCATAAAGATGGATCGAGGAACGTGTTTGCCATTGCTGGTCTCGGTGAAGAAAGTCTCGAAAGAGCCTGGGTCGCCGACATCCTTGGCGTTGGGGTCAGGGCGGCCATCAGGGCCAAGGCCGTGTTCGAGGAGGTAGCTGCATCGACAATTGTTAGAAATATTGTTTCAAGCCTGAGCGGAGTGTATAGATGGCATGTAGCTACTAGGATAGCGACGTACAGCTCCCAAGCAGAGTTACCCAGCTGGACGCCAGCTTGGCCCAGGTGAAGGTGAAGAATCTAGTTATAGCCAGGGCGGTCAGCAGAAGCTCAGCTATGCAAAAGGCAGCAAAGGCAAAGATGGAGGCAGAGAGAGAAAGAGAGAGATCAGGGGAACATGGAACAGCTGTGGTGGACGTGGTGCTGGCCCATTGAGTGACGGACATGTAGCAACGCGAGCACAGCGGCAGCTCATGACTTTATCAAATCCTTACCTCGCCCTTCATTTTTCGTATACACAGTCGTAGAACCGGTCGACGGCAAAGCTATCTCGGGATGCTTAGAGACGGTTGGACGAACGAGGCGCACAGCGCTGTGGTAAGAGGAAAGGGTCCGCTCGAGCAGACAGGAGGTGGTGACGATGATTTGCCAGCAGGCGACACTCTCTCTACCTGGGACATGCTGTGGGCATATGGCGGGGTCGATGTCGTCCAACAACTGGAACTAGAGCAATTGAGCACACGGCGCCACAGGGGCAGCGGGTGCTGAGAGTGGAGAGACGGTTTGCACCAGCAGTACCTGGTACCTGCGCCAAACCCTGAATCCCGGCAGGCTGCAAGGTCACGTCGACCGCTCACCGCTAATTGGCGGCCGACCGGAGCGCTCCAGCGCAAGCCTCCAGTGAAAGTGGTGAGGGCCCCGACGTCTCCAGAATGCAGGGGCCGTGGCTGGCGCTAGAGCCTAGCTGCCTGGTAGCCTGACAGCACTTGAGATTGACGGCCCAGTCTTCAATGTTGATAGTACTCCGTAGATGCGCCCGTTCAAGTGCCTGCTCCTCGGCAACTCGGCCACGCGCTGTTGTGTCTGGTGAGCCGTCAAATGCGTGCTAGTCCAGCCGCATCATCAGATAACAACTGGCCAAGATATCTCGCAAACGGCCATGTCACCTCTACATTTCCACTAGCGCATTGAATTCATGTACTACTATAGCAACATGGAGACGGGCACCAACGACCGGACAACATTGAGCTGCTCAAGTATCTGCCAATCGGACGGTCTGACCACTGATGTACAATCTGCTGGTTCTCTACGAGGCCGTTTAGACGCAGCGGTTCACTACTCATCCGTCCGCCTAGAAGCTTGAGGCATACTTTAATGTGTTAATATTTAGTGCTTTGAGGTCAAGTCGGTATGCCGCAGAACCTCGGCATCATCCCCTCACCATGCTAGAAAATACTCTAGCCAGTCCCATGTTATGCCATATATCCATGGCACCTGGGAACTCGAGCCATAGAAGATATCATTCGTACGCACAAGCATTGTCACCAACAATGCTTAATGAAGATCCTCGTCGTAGTCTTCACAGCAACGAGATGAGTATGCGTGGACAGTGGCGTTTAGCTGAAACTCGAAAGGACAATGCGGATAATGCATCTGGAAACGGCCTCACTATATTGTAATGCGCGTCAAAGCCCGCAATGCAAAAATGCCCGGTCATCTACTCACCTGTTTAGTAAATCGGTTTAATCAATAGGACATGTCATTGCAGCCCTGAACAACACAACGCTGGCAATTCATTCCCTCACCAGCTATCCTTTTCATGGGCTGCAAGGGGCAGTGCCTCTGCCCTTGGTCGAGAGAATAGACAGTCACAGCGAAATTAGCGTGTTCTTGAATATGTCCGTAGTTAATGCAAACCCTTTTGTAAATATTTCCCACGAATGCGACTGCGCGATCGATTCTAATTACGACATATGAATACCTAGGTACTTAGCCAGTGCCTCGTGTTTATACGCCGAATGCCATACAAATCCATCCATAAAATGTTCCGACTCAGGTATACGCCAAACGCCCCAAAAGGTATCGTGCGAAACAAGTAACAAGATCTATCCCTCAATTTATGACCGACGGAGCTTTCAATGCCTGGGCGCCAATGGCTCATGTGGCAAGGTCTCCTGCATTTGCAATTCTTCGATGCGTTGCTCTATCGCCGCCTTCTGCTCGTTGAGCGCTCTAATTTGTCCGTCTCGCTGTCTGCCACTATAGGCATCGCGGCTTCCGGAAATCCTCCTCGTGCGACCCGGATCGTATGCGGGTGGCGGCTCATGTCGCTCGTATGGTGCTTGTGTACTAGAGATGGTGGAAGACATGCTCAAATCTCCCGCGTACGGGCCATCGCATGCCGATGGCCCGCGACGATGCATAGTTTTCAAGTCTCGCATCAGACGGTCCTTGGTCAAACCCTCTCGAGACCGGCGCCTCCTGGCAAGGATATAATAGATGAGGCAAAGGCAGAGCAATACGAATGCGCAGGCACCCACGGCGATGCCAATACGGGCACCCATGGACAAGGTGCGAGGTACGCCATCTTCATCTGAGCCGATTCCCAGTTCCTTCTTGTCCTCGGCTGTAAATTGCACTTGAATGGTGCTGACTGCCAACATGCCGCTATACAACGTTGTTGTAGACTGGGTGAGAACATCGTATGTACCTTGTATCGCGTCGTAGGTGATGGGGACGGCTAGGCCTGTCGCCACGGAGCGCCTACAATCTGATCCATTCAAAGTATATCCACTTACGTAGGTCAGCGTGTGCAAATCGACAACGGCAGTTGGTTGGTCAAGACTTACTAGGAGCAACAAACAGCCGTGGTTCTGTCTATATTCGATTGGACTGATGCAGTCGTCCACCCACCAGGGCACGTACCAGGACTAAATACGCCTGTGCGACCATATGAGAACATGCCATTAGGATAACACGACAAAGTGCTGGCTCCGGGCATGGGTTCGAGGTCCAGAAATGCGACGGCGCCTGGCGAGGCAGTCTCCTCTGGGTGACTGACAACATACGTCCAGGTGCAGCTCTGAGGACTTCCCCATGGCGTCGTCAACGCTGGAAGGGTGGCGGTTGTCGAGGTAGAGCTCGTACGTGTGGCAGATAGCAAGGTCGATGTGGGTGGTGTGGGAGGAGATGGTTGAGTCGAAGTCGTAGAGTCAAGTGCTGATTGAGGAGACGCCATTCTGTGGCGATGGACACCAACAGCGAGCTGTCCCGCCGGTTATGTGATATGTCTTTGCAGTCGGCCAAGGCGTAGCTCGTTGTTTACGGACAAGGGTTTTCGAAGCGACAATATGGTCATTTGCCAACAGCTGAAGATGCTTTTCTGCGTGCGCAGGGACACATGGCCTTGAAGACGTCTTCCAGAGTTGGTCTTCTAAACTAGGCCGCGAAGATTCAGCAGCTCGATTGACGACATATACGCAGCGCCCTCTATCCGACAGAGTCTGTACCTAGGGTGATGACGAGGGATGGTTAGACAGGCGAGGTTCTTCGGGATGGCTGATTTGATGAAGCGGGAGCTCTAGACGCGGCACGCATGAATGGCCAACCAAAGCAGAGCGCAGAGAGAAACCGGCGAGGAAGGACAAGGCCGTATATGAATGCAACATATCGCAGCACATTGCTGTGCTGGAATTGCTGGGGGGAACATGCCGGCTCAGCATGAAAGTGGTTTGGGGCTTGGGCTGGAGCTCCAAGGCTTGGCAGTATCTCATGACGGCGAAATGAAGACGACGCCGAGACTGCCAAGCCCAACAACATTCAGCGCCGGGCTGCCAAGTGCGAGTCCGCGTCGACCAGCCAGCTGCTCAAGTGGCTCGGCAGTCCAACTTTTTCAAATCTCAAACTCAAACCCGCCTCCCCGACATGGCGATGCCGACGAACCCAGCCCAACAGAGGCGCCCCTTGCCTTCATCTCACAGCAATCGGGGCCAAGCTGGCCCATGGCTCTGATCACGGCGGCTTCCCATGGTACGTACAGGCCGGGCCGTGTATCAAAATAAATTGCTTCAAAGTGTCGATCTGGGCCAGTGCCTCGCAACACCAAGCCGCCGCGCCCTTTGGTCCAGCGTTCGCACCTGCTGTAGTTCGCGTTTGTGAATAATGACAACGTAACGCATTTCGTGGCGCACTTGGCTTGCCAAGGCGCGCACAAGCTTGGTGGTACGCCGTACTGCCCAGTAGTAATTCCTCGTTACATTCTAATGTTGTTGGTCGGAGCCGACTGAGGCTGGCACCGGTACTGCCCGCCGTCGCCCTGCATTCAATCTGTCTGATGAGGGAGCAAATACAAAACTCTATGTATGCGCATGCGGGGACGCGTTCTGAATAGTCACTGGTCTACCGAGCGCTTGGCGGTGATATGACACGACACCAAGACCACATCCGAGAGGCCCCTGAGCAAGCCTCGTACGGAGGTGCATGTACGTACTACGGAGTACTTTTCTCGCCAAGGGAACTGGGACAGGAGCCGACGTACGGAGTACAATAATACGGAGCACCAAGCATCGACTATAGAAGTTCCCAGGGCTTGGCCGCCTTTTGGTTGGGCCAACACGGGGAAACCAGGCCATCCAGTGACATGTAATACTCCGTGGCGGTTTTCCAGTCCTCCTTTCGCTTGACTTTCGCGAGACTTGACTTGGGGCCCCAAGACAAGCATGTTTCGTCTACGGAATACGTAGTAGTACTACTACCTGCTCGGCAATATACCGAGTGCTCCATGGAGTACAGACGAGACATATCATTGTACAGGTGGGTGGAGTGTCATGTTTGACCAAACCGAACAAATCCGTCGCCCAAGATTGTATTGGTGAATACCTCATTTGCCAAGACAGACTGAGCGGTCTCGTCACATTCATGGTTGCTGTCTCAGAAGAATGTGCTATCAAAAGAAAGAAAAAAACGTCATGGCAAAACCACCCGTGCATCAGAAAAGTAAGAGACCTCCAGATGAATATGCTGCGTCTTGTAAAAATTCGAATGCCATAACAAACATCAGCCGCAAGACAAAGCCGCAGTGCGTCGAAGGTCCCTGGACAGTTTTTCTGTCGGTCAAGGCCCGGGAGGCGGATGACAACTGAGACACTTGGACTTGCGACAGCATTGATTCCTGGGTCAGGTCATGTGATTTATGTGGTTATGTAAGACGGGCTCCCACAATTTCAATCTGTGCGGGGGAAAGAGGAAAGAGGGTCGTCGCCTGTCACACATAACCACGTGATATGAGGGTCGAAGGGCACGAAAACCCTACGAGCAAAATTGGTAGTTTGTCAATCCGCAAGCGACTCAACAGCCTTCTAAAACGACTCCATCCCGGCCACCACATTCGCTCATCGATACCGTGCATCGATAGGCGAATCCGAAATCACCACAACCGCGATCATGGCTGACGAATACGTATGTCTAATTCCTCGATGTCTTCGAACACTCTCCGGGGCGACGGCCGTGCTGGAGGGAGACGGGCAATTATATCGATATTGTCAAGTGGCATAGATGCTGACCATGGTTTTGTACTGCAGAACGCCGAGGAGGCCGCTGAGCTCAAGAAGAGAAGAGCGTTCCGCAAGTTTTCCTACCGAGGAATCGATCTTGACAAGTATGTTGCTTCATACGGCCAAACCGCCAAATAGACTTTTTATTACACATGCACCAATCAATCCTTTACGCCATACGAAACGACCCCGATCTCTCTTTTCACATCATTGTCCAAGACCTAGCATGATTCTAATTTTTTTCTCAGCCTCCTAGACCTCAGCTCCGACCAGCTGCGTGATGTTGTCCACGCCCGCGCCCGCCGCAGGATCAACCGTGGCCTGAAGCGCCGCCCTATGGGTCTGATCAAGAAGCTCCGCAAGGCTAAGCAGGAGGCCAAGCCCAACGAGAAGCCTGACTTGGTCAAGACTCACCTTCGCGACATGATTGTCGTCCCCGAGATGATTGGTAGCGTCATTGGTATCTACTCAGGCAAGGAGTTCAACCAGGTGGAGATCAAGCCTGAGATGGTTGGCCACTACCTCGCTGAATTCTCTATCTCATAGTACGTCTATCTACCACTCAAGCATGATTCGAGCAACAATGAGGTGGATTGGACAATGGCCATGTAAGCACGATTTGCTAACAACCTTTGCAGCAAGCCCGTCAAGCACGGCCGACCCGGTATTGGTGCCACCAACTCTTCTCGCTTCATTCCCCTCAAATAAGAAGGTCGTTTTGGTGCTGGTCTTGGGTGGGTTTTGCATTCACGGACATTTATGGGCGAAAAAGGACTGGGTTTGGTAGAGTGGCGATGCCTCTATCGAAGGTTGCTGTGATGACTATGAGTACCATGATAGTACAATAAGGATGCATCGTCGCTTTTTGCACATCTCTGTGTCTCGCAGTTTGGTTTTGAAATTCGCGTGCGATTGTACTATTCCTGATTGTGATGCATAGTACCAAGTGGACGAGCCACTCAAATATCGCTTGTAGATTACTGTGAATCATTGCATAACCTTCAGGCATCGTAGCAAGAATGAGAGTCTCAGTGAGCCACAGCATCACTATAGAATCAATCCGTAGCCATCTATTGCCGTGGATACGTGTCGCCGTCCACGCCTTGACAGTACCTGCTTATCGGAATCATGCCTCCAGACTTTTCCATCGTCTCACAAGTTTAAGCACAGGGTAGTTGGCGTTCGCTTCCACTTAAATATATCTCAAAAAGAATAGTACACGTATGGGTCTTGTCAATTCACAGATCGCTCCCATTCAAACTCGCATATTGCATCATCTTACGTCTGCGAGCGACACATGTATAAGGCTTTGATTCCCCATTCACAAATACAATAACCTAGGAAATACCGGTAGCATGAGGTTGCCCAGTCATCAAACATAGATGGCTATAATAAATGGCAACATGGTAATTGCACCAAGGAGGAACCAAAACAGCCGCAGATGGATAATTACCAGGAATGAATATTTTATAAAAGGAACAAGAAGACGTCTCTTCTATATGGACATGATGCGATTTCCTTCCTATCGCGATTAACTATACAGTTTGCTTCCCACGGTTCTACGCCTTCTGCTCGGCCAATTTCCTCGCTTTCCTCTCCTCGTCCTGGAGGTGCTTCTGCTTATAGTGCTCCACCACATGGTCCAAGTTCACAAGATGACCGGCCTGAATATTCCTGGGAGCGTGAGATTGGAAAGCCCTAAAATAAGAAAGCGTCAGCCAACGCTTCTAGTCCCAATTACACAGCGGCGAGAAGTGCGCCACTGGTTGACAGAGCCAAGGAAACATACTCAGGGTACGAAACGTCAACGAATCTGTGCTGGTTGGAGGCGTTCTCGAAGAGGTTTCGGTCGAACCCAGCCTGTTCCATAGCCCTGGTGTGCAGGGCATTGGTCTCCTCCCAGTCCTCCTTGCGCGAGAGATACTTATTGATCAGGCTGGAGACGGATGAGTCCTCGCCCTGCTTGGGGGCAAACTGATATAACAAGACACCTCCGAAGAAGGCGGCAACGGTGGCGATGGAGCCTTTCTGCAACGGCGCACCAGAATTTCCCCCCCGGTTAGCCAGATTCAATGCCTCGCAATGGAGCGCGGTGCGGGTGGTGCGGGTGCGCCCTTTTCCTCCAGAAAACGTACCCCGAAAGACTCGTTAACCTCGGCGGCCTTGTGGTGGCCATGGGCGTCGGATGCGTAGGTGCGAGCTGTCCGCGGAAGCTGCCGGGCAATCTGGCCTGCCCTCTGTCGTGCAGCGAACATTTTGGCGGAGCTAGCGTCGTCAATTGATGCTGGTCGTGGAGGGACGAGCTGGATAGGCGACGGGGCCAAAAGGTGAGGTTGTCTGGTGTTGCAAATCCACTTGTGTTTAGGTAAGCGGGCTCTGGCCAATCAGAGTATCGGCTTACATTTATCCCAATGAAGAGCGTTACACGAAGAGCTTGGAGGACTTACACGATATCAACCTTCACAATTTCAGACTTTGCACGGGTGCAATCGGCGATCCAATCCCTGCGGTTGCTTTGACACTACCTTTTCTCACGAGACGTCTTACCAATCTCGGTTTTATGGTGCTCCGTGTACAAGACCATAGAAGGGTATCGCGCCGAGTGGTAAGACGTAGCACAATGTTGCACCAAAACACCAACGATGCGCCGAACCTGTATAGAGGCCTCTGGAGAATGCTGTTCCCGGGCAAAGTCCCTCACCCTCCTGGGACCCTGCAGAGACGGTCCTAGCGAGAAAGCCATGTGCCGATGCCTAATCGCCAAGAATGCCAACGTGGCAATATCCAAGCGTGGTTGGCCAGAAGCCATGTCTCAAAAAGTAAATACCGATGGGAGACCGATGAGAGCAATGCGTCCGTAAAGTACAACACTGTGGCGGCGAATGGCCTCCTCCTTCTCCGCAACGGTGAGCACGGCTGCATTAACTTGTTTTTTCTCACGCCCAATCGGAGAACCCTAAGGAAAGCCTCTTGCCGTCTTGCAGTCGATGAGCAGCCTGCATTTGGCAGCCCATGCAAAATCTCCCTCTAGGCCACCATCCCTGGACTCTGGGAATCTTATACCGGAGAAGGGACTGCTACTGATCCCAGAAGCCCGAAACCTGAACACCATTCGCAACAAGGAAGGGGGAAAAGCCACGATACTCTGTGAATAACTGTGGAGAGAATTTCGTCCACCCCTCCTATGAAGGATCATTGCGTTCCTGCATGTGTAACACGACTATTTGTGACGAGCTCGAGACGGAAATTTTGTTTGGGGGTACGGTCGTTGAGCTGGGGAGAGCAAAGGGGGAGGCCTCTTGTGGCCAGAAGTCGAGGCCAGCAACTCGGACTGGCTTCGTATAAAACGCCTCTTTCCTTTTTGTTGTATTTTTGCAATCCAACTTTTTGAACAGATGCCAGATATGCCGTTTCGGTACCAGCAGCATCGTTGGCCAGTCCCATGACTTGGTTTCTTACCAATGGAAAAGACCATAGCATACTTCACAGCTCACGGCACTAACACGACTTCCAGACCTTGACACAGGCCAGGGAAACCGAGAGTGCTCATCACAGATCGTGGCGAATACAGCTTCTAAACAAAAGTTAAGAGCCCGTTTTGAAGATATGGTGGAGAATCGGGGTGAACAAAACAAGCGCATGAAAAAACGATCGCCCTTTATGAACTGTGTGAATCTTCAACAAAGGGTTAAAAATGGCATCGATGGCAGTGAAAACTGTCACGTCGTTAGTATACAAGACTCTTACATCAACGCCTTCTTCGACCCTCGGTTCCTCACCATCAAGCACATCAAATACCCTCGCCTCGGAAACAATGGAATTCGCCCAGGTAGTGCAGAACTGCAACAAGTTTCGTTTCAACGAAGAGCAGGACTCGTTATTCCGGTTCTTCGTTTTAGACCATGACAAGCCTGTGGGATATATTCTTCCAAGCTTCATCACGGAGATGAACTGGAATATCCGCGGATTCGAAATCGACCTAGACAAGAAAACCGTGCTCCTGAACATGGACCTTGGTCCCGGCGAGTCGATCGCAAACGCTTGCGACAAAGCACTCGTGGATTTCTGTGCGAAAAACATCGACAAGATCGACCGGCTCGACCTCTGGCTTCAACAGCACCACAGAAACGACGACTCCCCAGAATATCACCCTATCCTCGGGCTTCCACCCCAAATTTCCTGGCTAAAGGTCCCGTCGCCAGTCCGTGGAGTATTCGGAATCGTCACTGCGGGAGCCCATATGACCATGTACACCTTCAAGAGCGGCAACAGCATTCCGCACATCTGGGTCGCCAAGAGGTCGCCACACGTTACTTATGCCAGAAAATACGACCAGCTTGCTGCCGGTGCCATGGCACCCAGCGACAGAAATATCCCGATTAAAACAATGGCCAGGGAGGCTATGGAAGAAGCTGGCTTATTGGTCGGCATGGAAACCCGCCAAGTTACGACAAAGCAAGGCGAGCGCTTGGGGAATCTTGATGCCGGTCGTCTGATTTCGTTTTACGACAAGAAAAATAAAATCGCCGGCTCCGAAAGTGGTCAGCTGGAACCGGGGGTCCGCTACACCTTCGAACTTCGTGTGCCTCAGTGGTTTGAGCCAAAGCCCTGCGAGCCCGATGCCATTGAAGGCTTCCAGCTTCTTTCGGTTGACGAGGTGAAAAGGTCTTTGAAGGCAGGAGACTGGAAGCCTAATTCTGCACTCGTGATGCTCAGCTTTCTCGAGGAAAGGGGTCTCCTTGGTAATGGAGAAAGGTTAAGTCTGGATGTTTTAAACTCCATCTTGGAGTATCAAACTGTCTAATTCGACAACGTTTAATGCCGAGTATCGGATTTGCTTGTGCATCGGGTAAACACTCCAGAGTCCATAGCTCTGGCCTTACCCCTGTCTTTGACGGCCATTTCCGGCCACGGATGGATGTTCCTTGAAACGTCACTACTGCTTACGGAGAAATTTTGGTTTGCATTTTGATCGTCTTTTTCTTTGTCTTTTTGTTTTCGGAAGGAGACTGACACCACGTCAGGATCTTCTTGGATCACTGACGCAAAATATGCTGGGTACTTGCCCGGCTACCTACCCTAAACGGTTGCTAGACTAGGACAATTGCATTTCGTGCGCTTTGTCTTTTTGCTTGTTTACATCTTTAATGGGGCAAAACACTCTAATAAGAGACTAAAAATTCACATGGGTACGGAGTTGCATTGCCCGTTGTATAATAGACTCGTATCTTAATAAAGAATTCGTTATATTTCTCCTGTTCCCATTGACCAACATCGACGCTCATGCTTTCGTCACGCGTACTACATTTCAGCTTTCATCAACTTACCTCAAACGCACTCTCGCATCAAGTACTAATAGCTTTGGTAACATTGTCATCCCACCACTGGCCCCAATCGACAATCTTCTTGTTGACTCTGGCGTCTTCAGCTGCAAACACCAGCGCATGGCTACGAATGACATCATCAAGTGTACATCCCACAACCTCATTCTGAGCCCTCTCCCCATCCCATCCATGGTTCTTGACCTTATCGCATGCCAGCACAAACTGTTGCGCAAGACCCGTATCACCGCCGCCGTGTCCAAGATCAGTAACAGTAGGCTCGTAAGTCTTAGTCTCTCCTGTGGCAAAGTTCTCCACCACAATCTTCCTCGAGTCGGCGTGTATCTCGCCATGCTCGCCGTAGAATGTGCTTACACGTTCGCACTGTCGCTTGGTCTGTGCGGACATATGGAAGGTGACACGCTTGGCAGGGCGTACGGACTCGGGCCAAGTGATGGTGACGAACTGTTCGTCACAGACATTGTTGTCTGTTTCGTAGACGCAGCGGCCATACCATTGGCGTTTGCTGACCTCTTCCTTGGGAGTCGATTCGTCCCAATCTTCGCTGAGGGTCTTGACCATGACCTGGCGGCGCTCTTCGTCCGTCTTGTAGTCCTCAATGTCGTGGACGACGATGTCAACGGGCCACTTGGTGTTTCCGCGCGCCAGCCCAATTCTGTCGCCCAGGTAGATGTTTTTGGCGGAGAACTTGCAACCGGAGTCTCCGAGGGGACATTTCATACAGTTGGTGGCATTTCCGGCGGCGGCAGGCTTGCGGCTCTTTTTAAAGAATTGCACTCCGCCAGTCGAAGTGATGTAGTCGGGGAGGTGTGCCTCTCCTTGGCCAGCTTTAGCCGGAGCTGAGACAAGCCAGAGCAAGAGATCGATGTCGTGACAACTCTTGGTCAGCAGAGATGGCGCAGAGGTCTTGTCATTCCTCCAGTTTCCTCGGACGAAAGAATGAGCAAAGTGCCACCATCCCACAGGTTCCGTGTGGACAACACTATTCACCTCACCAATCACTTGCTCATCGACAAGTAACTTTCGCAACATGAGATTGTGAGGGCTGTACCTTAAGACGTGCCCGATGGAGAAAATCTTAGAGCCTTTCAAGGGCTTGACAGCCTTGTACATTGCCAGACAGTCGTCCATGTTGGTCGCCAGCGGCTTCTCACACATGATGTGCAAATCTAGCTCGGCAAGAGCTACAACAACTTCTCTGTGCATATCATCAAGGACACAGACAAAGGCGCCGTCGACGCCCTCGGGGACCTCTTCACCCGCAGCAGCACGCTTTCGGCGGTCCTTTTCGTAGTCGACAAACTCGTTCCAGCTGGTAAAGGATTGCCCTTCTTGGGGGCTGCCGCTGCCCCATATGTATTTCTGACCAAGGCTCTCTCGCTTGAATTTGATGGGCTCGCAAACTGCAGCCACCACTCCATTGCTGACCTTCTCAATGGCGTCGGCGTAGGCGTTGCCTCGGGAGCCGGCGCCGATGATGACGAAGCGGGGTGGAGTTTGGGACATCTCAGGTTTCTCGAGAGTTGTGGTCGCCTTGTTGGCAAACTCTGGGTCGACGACGCCAGCCATCATGGGTAGTTTGGTGGATGAGGCTGCAAAAGAATTGGGATATATCGGCGCCTTAGAGTATGTTATATATGCCTGAAGGATGCAAATTCACGCCGCAAATGGAGTATTTGATGCCGAAGGTGGCTCAGATCGGCTTGAACTCTGATAAACAATGATGATGGGGTGCAAGAAGCATAACGGGATGCTTCATATATGTATGTGGTTGGAACAAAGATCCACCAGGCCTCCGGCAACGGAAATGGAGAGGATACAATATGCAGGCTGATAAACCTAAAAATACCACGAAAAACGAGGTGACGATGTTAGTTCAAGGTGGGAGCTTGTTTCCCAAACAGGGAGAGTGGGGTATTGGTGGGCAACGTGGGCAACAACACTTGCGGAGACTGCCAATCACAGGTAAGCTATTGAGAATCAGTGGACTTGAGGACACCCCACGCAACGTTTCAGCACTATGCGGCCCTATCTGGGGCGTTTCGGGGACGAAGCGGGCCAATAGAAGGTGACTGACGCGACAGATAGGGCACCCTTTGCGCTGAACCTCCACATGTCACCACGAACTATCAACCATCACCATGTACAAATTGAGGGGTCACATTGTCTCCCTCCGAGCAAGACCACAACGGACCACATTCATCTCCACGAAGTACGCTCGCCCCGTTCGTTACTCATACCTGGCGTTCACCAAATAACCCTAGCAGTTTTGGCCGGCGCGAATTTCCTACTTGGGAAAGAACAGCTTCCGTCGGCCAAACCTCGACAGACAAGCCAGCATCAGACGCCAGATTTCCTGTCAGTAAACACCAGAGAACTGCTTCAATTAGTATTGTACTCCGTAATACACATTCGACATACTGCTATCACTATCGGCCCACTTCCACAAAGCTGGACAAGCTCTGCCCAAAAGTGGATCACCTTCACACATCGTAGAATTTGTTTGGATACATAGAACTTCAGCATCTATCCCCGCCGCTACCAACAGCAAGCTTAAGTAGGAGGCTTCGCCCCTGGATTCATCCATTGCTGACAGGTCAAGCTAGTCAGCTGCTTCATGGTGGCTTCGTACAGCGCTTTATTGGCCGATATTTTCCGCTCCAACAAAAGCTTGGCTGCTCTGTGCAAGGGCGACAGGCAACCTTCGACCGACGGCCATGGCACCCGGAGCCGGTGGTGCCCCGCCTTCGGGTGTAACGACGGATGATCCCCTTGTCTGGATCGATTGCGAGGTAAAGTTTTCCCGTCTTGTCTTGATTTGGGGCCACGAGGCTTGCTCGCAGACTTGCGGCAAGGGGGCGGCAACCCTACCGGCTACATGTCGGTGAAGCTCAGCCCGGACCTTGTAGTACTCACATGGTCATGATTCTAGATGACAGGGCTGAACCCTGATACGGAGGAGATCCTTGAGATATATTGCATCATCACAACGGCCAATCTAGAAATACTAGATCAAGAAGGGTACCACGCAGTCATTCACTGTCCAGCCTCCCGATTGGACCAGATGGATGAATGGTGTACTCAAACACACGGCAACTCTGGTTTAACCGCCGCCGTCCTGGCATCGTCGACCACACCCGAGCAAGCTGCCGAGGGACTGTACAATTATATCTCGAGATTTATACCCGAGAAGCGCAAAGCCCTACTGGCCGGGAATAGCGTCCATGCAGATAGGGCATTTCTGAGAAGGGAGCCTTATGCCAAGGTCATTGATCACTTGCACTACCGCATCTTGGACATAAGCGCCATCAAGGAGGCTGGCAGAAGATGGTGTTCGCGGGAGATTATGGCTCAAGCACCGGCCAAGAAGGGAAGGCACCTGGCTAGAGATGATATTCTAGAGAGCATCGAGGAGGCCAGGTATTATCGGCAGGCAATTTTTCAGCGACTGCCGTAAAAGTGGCTGGGGGGCTGATGTGATCTTGTGTTGCGGTGTGACTGGGTGTTTTTTACTTGTTTCACACCGTCCGACGATATAACATTGGGTAGACCGCTGATTAGGAGCCCGAATTCATCTACTGTCGTCAACGGGCCCATCGAACTTACTGCCCCGTCCGTGATGCCGTTGAATCCCTTCACGTAAAACAATATGCACCAGTGTCACCTATTTAACGTAAATTTCCTCATCCTAGTATCCCAACATCCCAATGGAAGAGAAATATCGCCACCGCCACGTTGAGCACTGCATTTCAATAGTGTCCACACTCTACACATTGGCCGTTTAGGTCAACCGTTAACTCAGCCTGAACAGCTCGACCCATGCATACTGCAAAATCCCGCCAATATCCACACTGTATAATAAACCCTGATGAGCGCCCAATCCCACAGTGTCGATTTGACACATCGACCTACCCTTGGTGAAAGCAGCCCCTCCAACAATCCATGATATCCCCACTACGTCAACCAAGCTCCAAAGAGCTTCCCCTCCCCCTCTCGATCTCCTGTCTCCAAACGGCTTGAGCTCCTCGAATCCCCTGTTGGCCATTCTAGCCAATTCTTCTTCTTCTCTATTTTTGCTCTCCCTCCAAAATAAAAGCCGTCTCTGAGACATAGCCATAATGGATATCAAGACTGTCGAGTTTGAGCCCTTCCAGGACCAGAAGCCTGGCACGTAAGTTCCCCTGTTGCTGGCTCTGGCTGGCCCCTCATCACATGAGGTGCCACAGCTCGGAAAGCTTCCAAAACTAACACAATTGATACCCAGGTCCGGTCTTCGGAAGAAGGTGACTGTTTTCCAGAAACCTCATTACAGCGAGTCCTTCGTTGCGAGTATTTTGTTGTCGATCCCTGAAGGAGTGAAAGGTTGGTTCGAATTTGGCGCATTGAAGCACACACACAGCCTTGCCAAGCCCCTCCAAGCTCCCCCGAGCTAATATCCGTGCTTGCCAGACTCGTTCCTCGTCATCGGCGGTGATGGTCGATACTGGAACCCCGAAGTGATTCAATTAATTGCCAAAATCAGCGCTGCCTACGGCGTCAAGAAGCTTCTAATAGGACAAAACGGTATTCTGTCGACGCCCGCGGCGAGCCATGTCATTCGACTCCGGAAGGCCACTGGTGGTATCTTGCTCACCGCTAGCCACAACCCAGGCGGTATACTTGTTCCCTCCTCTGAAACATGCAACACACTACGTTGGTTAGAGGCTGACCTCTCCGGGTGACTTCGTTCCAGGCCCCAAAAACGACTTCGGCATCAAGTACAACCTTGCCAACGGCGGCCCTGCCCCCGAGTCCGTAACAAACAAGATCTACGAAACCTCCAAGACCCTCACTTCATACAAGTTAGCTTCCATCCCTGACATCGACATCTCCACCATTGGCGCACGCACCTATGGTTCTCTCGAGGTCGAAATCATCGACAGCACCGCCGACTATGTCACCATGCTCAAGGACATCTTCGACTTCCCCACTATCAAGAAATTCTTCAGCTCCCACCCCGACTTCAAAGTGCTCTTCGACGGCCTTAGCGGCGTCACTGGGCCCTACGGAAAGGCCATCTTCGAAAAGGAGCTCGGCCTCAGTGGCGCTACGCAAAACTGCGAGCCCAGCCCCGACTTTAACGGCGGCCATCCAGACCCCAACCTCACCTACGCCCACTCCCTCGTCGAGGTCGTCGATAAGAACAACATCCCCTTTGGCGCTGCCTCAGATGGCGACGGGGACCGCAACATGATCTACGGCGCCAACGCCTTCGTTTCTCCCGGTGATTCGCTCGCCATCATCGCCCACCACGCCAAGTTGATTCCTTACTTTCAGAAGAATGGCGTCAACGGCCTCGCTCGCTCCATGCCCACTTCTGGCGCCGTCGACCGCGTAGCTCAAGCCCAGAAACTAGACTGCTACGAGGTCCCCACCGGCTGGAAGTTCTTTTGTGCCCTATTTGACGCCAAGAAGCTATCTATTTGCGGCGAGGAGAGTTTTGGAACAGGGAGTGACCATATCCGTGAGAAGGATGGCCTCTGGGCTATTGTCGCTTGGCTCAACATCATTGCTGGCATTGGTGTTCAAAACCCTGGAGTCACACCCTCTATCAAGCAGATCCAGAAGGATTTCTGGACCCAGTATGGCCGCACATTCTTCACTCGTTATGACTACGAGGATGTTGATTCAGATGGTGCCAACAAGGTTGTCGGTGTATTGAAGGATCTGGTTGCTGACCCTAAGTTTGTCGGTAGCAAGATTGGAGGCAAGTTCACAACCCACCCCCTCATGCAGAAAGATGTACTGACGAATTTGGTTGTTGTTTTACAGAGCGTACCGTCACAAAGGCAGGCAACTTCTCCTACACCGACCTCGATGGTTCCGTGTCCTCCAACCAAGGCCTCTACGCATGCTTCTCCTCTGGCAGCCGTATCGTCGTACGTCTCTCCGGAACAGGCTCTTCCGGCGCCACTATCCGTTTGTACATTGAGCAGCACAGCAGTGACCCGTCAACATATGACATGGATGCCCAGGATTTCCTCAAGGCCGAAGTCAAGTTCGCTACGGAATTGCTCAAGTTCAAGGAGCATGTTGGCCGTGATGAGCCTGATGTAAAGACCTAAATGGCACTCCAAAGCGTTTTTATTCCTTTGCGCTCAGAATTACATGAGAGATTTGAGATGAGACGTTAATCATGAGTGTGATGTTTCATGACATCCTGCTCACATGTGATGACAGATGATTGCATTCTAGCGTTTGCCAATAAAATACCAAAAAATATCGTTATAATATAGCTTAAAATGAAATAAAAAGTGAGAGGAGATAGTCGTCCCGCTCGCTATGCTTGCAAACTTGTTTTGTTCATCAGGAAAGTCAACTTGGTATCAAATGCGGGCAAAAAGAGAGAAGAAATACATGGGGATGGAGAACATGCTCTCCCTGTTCCAATAACGCCAAAGTAGGACCTTAAATTCAATCTTTTTGGGTTCCGGGCTCCAGGGATTATCATTTCATTTTCATTTCATCATTATTTCATCATCATTTCAGTCGTAAGGTTCTCAGTTCGTAAAAGAGGTTTTCAAAGCGCTCAGCTTCTGAAGGAGTATCAGCGAGGAGTCAAATGCTGCGACACGAGTTCTCCAAGATGATTGTGATTACAAGTAAGACGTACCACGATCGCTAACAAAGTTAATTTGAAACTCGCCAGTTGGTCCTTTGCGCTGGTTATGTTCTCGATAATTCTTGCAGAATACAAAGAGTCGAATGTCTGATAGCCAGACTTTGCGACGAGAGGCGCTTCGCCTAATCCAGTTTGTGCATCTGGCTTGTTCGGTTACTGAGCTTCATGTTAATATAATGTGGTATTTGTGATGTCAATAACCGCCATCAATGGGCATATTACCAAATGCAGTCCAGACAGGGCATTGGCGCAGTTCACCGTCCAAAACTGCTGCGTGAAGTCGAAGACCACCCGTGGCATCATCTTGATATACGATCAGGGAATGGTGGAAGCTATCGTCAAATATATCTCTTTCGGAATTGGTTAGTATACTTCCGTGTCGAGAAAGGGAATGCTCAAGGCCCATACGATTGGAAGAGCTCCTTCTCCTTGCCCAGTGCCAGCTCCTTGGGGCCGCATTGGAGGGTGCGAAGGTTCCTTGCCTTAAGGGATACGAAGGTGCAATACATGAGGACTATATCTGTAGCCGCAGTTAGCAATGTGTTTTGCAGAATGCTCGGTGATACGGTTGATACTGGCAGACTATACCAAGCCATACCTTCCCATGCATTGAAACATAATTTGGCCCAAATCTTGGAGTTATTGGCATTCATACTCCAACGACGAAATCGCAATGAGTCGCCGCATCTCTTGATGCATAGTTCGTGGACACCGCGAAGTGAAAACCAAGGCTTCTCATCTTTGAACATTCGGAGGAGTAGATATGCACAGTCGTCTTGAGAGTTCAAGAACACAGTAAGAGATACTTTATCACCATCGAAAGACCTGTTGGAGTTAGCCAAATGGATTGACGGTGTAAACACATATGCTTGACTGAAAGGGAGGGGAGTTTACTGTCGCAAGAGAACTTTCGAATACATGGGGATGTCGTAGTGGCCTAGTTCATGATGTGGTCCCAAAGATATGGTCCTAACCCTCTAATTTAGAACACAATGCCAGCTTGGCAACTGACGTCTCTTGCTGGACTTACTGTGCCGTATTTTTCATTGGCGTCCGCGGCCAGGGGGAAGAGAAGATATGTTCAGCCCAGTGGGTTATCTGATATAATGGTCAGCGTAACTTGGATGTGTACTACCAATACTGGCCAAACCAACCGGGTCCAGTCGATATGGGGGATATCCTGTATGGAGAACAAGCGGACCTGCTTGAAGTACACACGGCGGGCCTGAACTAAGATTAGAACGATATCAGGCATTGATTCAAAGCAGGGCTATCCAAGTTTGTCTTGACCTACCAATTCCTCTGGCTTCTCGTAAACGGAGTATTCGACGCTCGAGGCTTTTAATCTTGTATTTTGAAGAGGGGGTTCTGAATACGTTGTTAGGACTGATATTTACCAGCGCCGCCACACGTAAAGATGAAAAGTCAACCTTCTAAGAAAATTCCGTAGAAGCGTAGCGTATTCATAATAGATCTTGAATCTGTCTGGCAGCGACAGGCCATTGACTTCATCCTTCATGCAGTGATACATATTCCGCCATCGATTTTCCTTTGACAGCGAACACCGATCATAATAGGCCTTGATATCTCTCAAGGACTTGGACAGGCAGGGTAACACAATGTTCAGGGGGTCCAGCACATATATCAGACAGTCTCGGTTCACCTGAGCAATGTCGGCCAATTCGCGAAGGCGACGAGCAACGCTCGCAATCTCCTTGACGGTATCGGCCAAATAGGAATTGCTGGGTTCGTTCAATGCGATACGCAAGCCCTCCAACTTGAGAGCAATGTCATCAGATCGGTATGCCTCCAAATAGCATCCCTTCAGCAAGATGACGTCGTCGGTCTCGGGCATGTCCATTTTCCAAACTTTGAATAAGCGGACATGGAGCGGCTCTCCTCGGTCACACTCTGGCAAAGCCAAAGGCCCTTGTTTCTCATCACTGGGGACTCGCCTGGAAAAGGGTCAACCGATGCTCTGTAACTAAAATGCCATCCTAGAGGATGTTGGAAATTCAATGACGAGTGCGTATTTGATCTTGAAGCGTCTTGTTGTGCCCATGGCCGTGGTTGGGCACGGATCCCGTATTATTATACAATGGCGGCGGAGTTGGGGGGCAAGAGCAAATGGAAACGGGGATATTGATTTGTTATAGGCCCTTTCCCGAACGACTGACCATTGGAAAACGAGGGACACGGACGGGAATTGGGCCTCTATCACGGTGCACAATGCTTTTTCAAGTTGGTCCACGGCGACACCAAGTATGTCGGGAGCCGGGGAGGGAAAAGCAAGTGTCGACGGTCTGGGGAAGGAACTGGGCAGGTTTCCACCCCCGACTTCCCGCTGCACCATTTGGCAAGAGCCGCATGGCCACCGGAGGCATCCTGACTGCTTGGCCGCTTTGGTAGTCCAGCACGATGGACTGAGGACCGCCAGACTCGACTGATCAGACAATCTTTTTTTTTCTTTTTCTTCACTCTTTCTTGTTTCCGGTGGCGTTGGGTTTCATTCGTCGAATAGGACACGACACGGCAGCATGGCGCACAAAGGCACAGATCCCGATGGATTAATCCCCCATACGCTATATGCCAAACAGTGAACACGTACCATCTGGATTTGGACTGGAGGGACTGGCACAGCTGTCGACGCTGGATTTTCCTGCAGAAGATTGTGACTGGTGCCAAGTCAGAGGCGTGGTGATGATAATCATTCGATCAGTCTCGCGTGTAAACGCCATACACATTCGTCCGACGACCACCAACGGAGAGCAGCAAGGCCACTGGACGTTCTGCACAACAACCAAACCCCTTCGTTGAACAAGACAATGTGCCATCATAGATAAGATTCCTTTGCAAGTTTCAGCCATATCAGCAATGAACAACCCTACCGAGTCCGTGAGAACTAGAGACCCCGCCCTTCCTCTGTTCCCAAACACCCCCCGACTATCGCGATGCTATACTCCACTTCGCATTAGCATCAGCACCGGCGTCAGCATCAGCACCCGCGGTTTGTGAGTGCGAGTGTCCGTAAGACTGCGTGCCTTTACATGCCTCTACACCGATAATGCCAGCCATGGCAATGGCACCCAGCAGCCAGACTGGGACCGCAACTGTCAAGTGCGAAATGCAGTCGGAGCCGAGTGTTCGACTCCAACTGCTCACAGACTGCCACGAAAGCAAGCCAGCCATGTCGGGACCCAGCCAAACTTGTGCTTTATGCATGACAGTTGGACGGGCTAGACTGGACCGGCACTTGCAGCATGCATGGTCAACTGGTCGGTTCTGCGAAATAGTCGACTACTGCTTTGGGCCCGCAAATGACGCTTCCCTGGTGGCAGCCGTGGTCAATGATGGTCAATGATGGCGATGAGGCGGCTCTCGACTGCAAGATTGATCGGTATCCGAGGCAGATTGAAGCCGGCCTGTGTGAACAAGCATTGTTGAAACACCTGGGCAGTATCGCGAGGCTATCCGCCCACCATATATCACAAGCTATCGCCGCTCTAGGTATCTCTCACTCATCCAGTCGAGAACCACCAGTATTAGCCATTGGGTAGGGCATTCCCTCACGCAGTCAGGCATACATGAGCACATCAAACTCAAACACGTCGACTGTTGCATGCGTTACGTGACAGGCGCACAGAGTACTCTTATATTCGTACAAGATTTATCATTGCGTGGCCTCATAGACATTAAATATGATCATGATCAGAGACTCACGCCGACACGTAAAGCCTGCGACGTAATTTCGCCTTCTTTGATGATCACAAAATTGAGACCCAGTTCCATTTAGTTTCCCCGAAAAACAAAAAGAGCGCGCGGTCCATCCGGCGCATCATACAACACCGCCCAGCCCAAAATACAAGGAAAAAGAAGGTTTGCCAAAGGACGGGACTAGAGTACAATGATACGTCTTGACTCAACCCCAGCCGTCATTATGTTGCTTAGTTAGAGTCATCCTCGGCCTGCGGAGGAAATTAGTAAAAACCCCGACATGCCTCTTTACGAGAAAAGAAAAGCCTTACCTGGAAAGCGGCCTTCTCGTCCTCATACCGTTTCTTGTCGGCAGCAGCCTTGGCTTCGTAAGGAGCACGCTGCTTGTCGTTCAAGGCCTTCCAGCGCTCACCAAGAACCTTGCCAACCTGGCCGAAGGTGATGTTGGGGTTCTCAGCACGGACGTTCTCACGCTGCTCATTGGCGAAGAACATGTAAGCAGAGAGACCACGCTTGGGGCCGCGCTCTGGTACTGGTCAGCCGTGTCGTAGATCATGCATAAAAAATGAGACTTACTCTTCTTGCCATCGTCCTTCTTGCCGCGCTTAACCTTAGGCATTTTGAAAGTTTTTGACTGAAGCGGAGTTAGTGATGAAAATCAGGTTTGGTGAAACTTGATGCGTGCATCCAAGGGTCAGGTGTGTGGATGTTGTCAAGTGGCACGCAGTGGCCAAATGGAGCCGGGTAAACAATCCTTGAACGGGCGCGATGAGACGGGCAGAAAGAAAGTGTTGGTGGAGAGGAAGCGCGTGTAAGTGATGGGGATTGACTGAGTCCGAGGTGAGGCGCAAAGCCAATTGCGCAATCACCACGGCTCGAGATGAGCCATTTCCGAGAGGAAAAGTGTCGCAAAAAGCTGAATTGACCTACCTGAACGCCGCTTGTGTGAAAATGAGAGAATGGTGTTGACTGGATGGTCTAATTCTCAACGTCGCTGGTCAGCCCTATTGATGGATCCAACGTTGGGGGTATGCGTTGTGAGGGTTGAAGGATGAAAGCCAAGGACTCAAACAAAGCACCACGATGCAGAGGTGCACAGGGCTCTGGAGGCGAAATTGGAACCGCAACAGATGCAAAAATGCAATCCGAGGCGCGGCAGAACAAGTGCCAAAATGCGCGGCAGCAAAACGATGCTCGTGATGCGAGTGACCTGGGGTTGGCGGCGATGCAGGGCAATAGCGAGGTACTCACCAAAGGTCGCGTTGTGTGTTGTGAGGAAGACGCGCGAGGAGATTGTATGGGAGAATTTGGGTGGGAGATTTGTATGGGAGAGGAAGAGGGGAGAGAGAGCCTTTTTACTATGGGCGGGCCCGGCGGGCAGAGGGCGAGTGATTGTGTGGGCGCGACCGTGTGTGTGTTGAAAGTGGTCAATGTGGGAAGCGTGGGTGCGTGTGTGTGCGTGTGTGGAGGAACGCGGCTGGCCACACACATGCTCGAGTGGACATTGACTGACTTGACACAGAGTCCAGAGTCGAGGTGAGTCCCCGTCTCGCAGTCCTCGTCCGCAGTTCCATAGTCCACAGCCCTCACTCCTGAGTCCTCACTCCCCCAGTCAACCAAGTCCGTCCGGCTCGCCAGCCAAGCACACTTCAACAATATTGCGCACTTGCGCACTTGCACCCTGCCAACCTGCCCAGCTAGCATTTGGACCCGGCTCAACATTTGGACCACCAGCCCATCCGCCTGAGCAAACACCCAGTACCAGGCCACAGCTACCCGCCAGCCCGCTCCTGAACCTGCCTGCTTGCCCAGGTGCGTACGGAGTACACACGCCTCGACATTCTACAGTCGACACAGTCGACACCACGTCGAGTACTCTGTACATTGGTGCAGAAGGCCCATGGACTGCAAGTGTCGCAGGTGAACTCCATAAGTACTTAGACCTAAAGGACGCACTCCCCTCCTCAGCTACATGCGTAAAGTATGTACATTTTCCTAGGGGTACTCAAGTACTGCGTTTTATGACTTCTGAAGCGAGCATGCTCCGTAAGTACGTGATACTACTGGGTAAAGTACTCAAGTAGGTACAAGTACGAGCCTGCGTAGTAGGTACTCCGTACATGGGGTCGATTCTCCGTACCAGCCAGCCAGCCAAGCTAAGAATAACATCGGAACCGGACATGGAAACCACGCCTGCCAGTTGTGGGCGCCTCTTACTCTGCTGTGCCCACGCGCCGTGCACGTCAGGGAGGGGACCACGAGCGGAGCGTGGGAGGCGGGCCAAAATGGTAATGATCCAGCTCGGCAAGAGTGATCAGAAACCAGGGAGGAAAGAGAATGGCACCAGGAAATAACGCCAGTGCTCCGTACTTCACTTGACGCCGTGTGGAGTACGGGAATGTTGAAGGGGCAATAAGCGGCCAGATGCCAACGTTCAGAACTTTGAATGATGGAACGCCTCGCGCAACCCGCAGCAGGTCTCTCGTGGCTACGCCGGATACAAGACACTAGGCACGGAGTACTGCGCGTGCGCTCCGTAATTGGTACTGCGTACGGAGTACCTAGTAGTCGTACCACTGCTGTACGGAGTACGGAGCATGTACTCCCTGCTCCCTGCTTAGATCTTGCTTCCGCCCTTCCTCTCCTTCTCACACTCCCACTAGCCTGCATCACACACTCCTGCCGCCTTCTCCCTTTCGCCGGGCGGGTGTTGGGCTGGTCCAGGGATGGTCGAACTGGTCCATCCATCCAGGGGGGTCATGACCGGTCTCGTGCTGTTGAATGGCTGCGTTGCCTGCTCAAGTTCAGGTGTGTGGGCTGGGGGACCGACGGGGGGACATCGAAGGGACTGGGCTGTTATGCCCATGCGCGCGCCGACGACGGCTAATAATTTCGCGTGGTACTGTAAAGATACATGCGTGTCGCCGACGGTCGCGCCGATGTAGTGTACAAGGGCGCTGTACCACGGCTTCTTCAGTTGTATTCGCACTGTATACATTAGTGATCTCGAGGCAGGTAATGCTGGGCATTGGCTGCTCCTGGCTGCGCTTGCACACTTTGCTCTCTGCCTTGCATTTACCAGCGCACTTGAGCGCAAATGCCTCTCGAAACGCAGCCCCCAACAAAACCACCTAACGTCAGTTGTCA